TCATCTTGGCCCAGGGAGGGGAGCCCTCGCTGCTCTGCCATCGCCTCAGAGCCTCCGGGACCGCAGGGCATCCTCAAGGCACCCTGTCCAGCCACGGGCGGCCGCGCCACCGACCTCCATCCCCGACCCGCACCAGCCATCGGCCTCAAGCCCACGCGTTACTGCCAATGCGCAGCCATAGAGGCAAAACCATCACCAGCATCCTCATAAGCGTGTGCTCTTACCTGGCGGAGGAGTGCGTGCCGGGCCCTGCCCGGTGCGATCAGCAGCGCTGCTCTGACGAGTCGGGGCCGCCCCTCACACGGCCCGAATGGGGCCCGAACCGCCACCGGCCCCGGGCCGGCACCAGCGCACAGCTGAGACCTGTTACTGTCATTAGGGATGGGCACGCATCCCTAGGGGAATCCCTAGGGTGGGAAAGGGCCAAACCGCCTTTCAAACCGCAGCGATTTCTGACCTCCTCCTCCGTTTAACCAGCCGTGGCGGAGGAAGGAGCTGAGGGTGCCCCGCTGGCTGCCAGGACGGGCAGCGGGTGCGGGTGGCAAGCGTGCCATGCCCCAGGCAGGTGAGATTGGCTCGGGCAGGGCTGGAAATCGTGTAAGGACAAAGCTGCCTCTCTCAGGATAGAGTACACATAGAGCAAGAGAAGTGTATTTGGAATAAAATGGCAGGAGTTTGCAGATGCAAAAAACGAAAATAGCCCTTATGAGACAACTACATTTTCCGTGTGTCAGACACCTGCACAGCCCAGCCTGGCAGGAGATCAGCAAACCTCTGCTGTCTCGGCACACGACTCCCCAGCTTCCTGGGAAGTCGACACACACAAACATCCTGTTTCTGAAGAGTTTATGTGCAAGCCATGAGCAAGTCCTATCCTTCAGACCCACAGTAGAGGCACATCACACTTATGATGTGAGATGCCAAGATTCAACAGGAACATGCAGCTCTGCATGCAGGGGGGAAGAGATGCAAACAACTGCATCTGGACACTAGTCCCCGTGTTCATAAACCTGCTCAGCTCCCTCTCAGGGAATCTGCATTTAACTCCAGTGATGGGTACTTGTGCTCTGGCTGCTGATGGTCTTGCTCATTGCTACAGTGTCCCTGCAATTGCTAACTCATCACTAATGTGGCATTCACCAGGTTCCCTACCCAGCTACTCACAGCTGGTTTTAACTTTGCTCTGACTGGTCTACAGCTGTAGCATATCAGTGGTTTTAAACAAAAGAAAACTAAAGCGACCCTATTGTTCTTCTTTCTTCATTTGTTTTTGGAAGGGAAAATCAGCCTATGTTTTCTGCAAGAGCAGCAAGGATAATTTTGGTTTTAGTAGTGTAAATCATGCAGTGACAGAGGTGAGGAGCAAGGACCCAAAGCGCTGAAGCATGGCTGAGCAGGCAGCCCACAAAGGTTCAGCTGTAAACACCTACTCGAGCCCTGATATGCATGGGAGTCTTCCATGAACTACTGAAAAGAACAGGAAATAAAATTATGTTTTATTCGTGTGTGCAGAGCAGCACACAGGTCTACAAATGAAGAGATAGTGATTCCCTCTCATCAGCCTTAAAAAAAGTACTAAATTGTAACCAAGGCAGCAGATTTGCTACCATCTGAAATTTATCATTTCTCTATAGCAACCAGGTCCCTTCTGCCTGGCTCTTGCTGCCAGATGTTCATTTCACTGTAATTTAGCCATACCCACAAGACACTGGCTTGCCCTGCCCTTGCTCTGTTTTCCTCATTAGCAATTCTCTTTGCTTCCAGGTCATGGTTTCATTAGCAGTAAGTCATACAACAGCCAGGTGAAGTTGTACAAAGAAGTTTTTATGAAGCGTGCTGGGGGGCTGTGCTGCCTTGCTGAAGTTTGCAGAGGGACAGCCTCTGTGTTCCAGGGTGTGATGCTAAACCTCTGCACTGCACAGGAGTAAGGACCTTCTTGAGAGCCTTTCTCCACTGCCCCTTGGGCAGCTGTCACTCATCTCCTCCGTGTGAAACAGTAAACCCAGCACCGTCAGCCACAAGCTGGGTAACAACAAGGACTACTCCACCCTTGTAAAGCTTCAGCAACATCCTCCAACATCTTTTCTCTTTGGCCTTGTCTCTCCCTAGTCCCTTTTCACAGCTTCTTTTTGTTCTCTGTTTTTAATGCTTTAAAGGGATCTCGCCTCTTTAGGAGAAGGCTACCAGTCACAATCCCTAACTTTGAGACACTTCTGCATGAATAAACTGAGCTCTGATGAGCACAATTTCAAGGAGGCCATTGGCTTCTATTCTTCATCTTCCTGCACTAGAACGTGCTGACCTGTAAAACTGAGCACAAGGGAGAATTTAGGCATAACACAGTTATTACAAGCCTGAACAGAGAAAAACAAAATCTTCATTTTTTATGAAAATCTTAAATTAAAAAAAAAAAAAGCTTGACGGAAAGAACAGCGTTTCCCTGTACTTCTAGAAGCAACAGTACTAAGAAGGTAAATTTGCCTTGCGGCTTACCCACTTACCAAAGTATTGCATTCAGCTCACCCACATCTTGCTTTCTAACATTAGCCAGATTTACTTTCCTTAATAACCAGCTTTTATGGCCTCATCTCTAGATGTATTTACCCAGCTGCTATGTATTTGCTAGGTGAGCATGTGTGTCACTTCATGTTTCAGAAGGGTTTTTAAGCCTTGCCTCTGGGCAGTCAGGATTTCCTGCTCTGCGGCGGCAGGAACAGAGCGAGACAGGAAACAGTGCTGCTGCCACGGGCTGTGAGGGAGGAAGGTCAGCCTGGGTTTGCACCTTCTCATTACTACCACAGCCTCAGGACTGAGTCTAGTCAAGAACTGAACTTACCAAATTGCCCTTTTATGCTGAACTGAAAGCATAAAGTGCTTTCTACTTAATCTGAGTACGTAACATCAGTGATATTCCTTGCCTTTAAAATACTTTGGCTATCGTGTGGGTGAGCCAGCACTGACTGATGCAATGGCAGTGCAGGATGATATCCACACGCTCAGTGTCCATGTCACTCATAGGAACAGAGCCAAGCCCTTCCAGCAGCCTGAAATGGGAGCAGTTGTATCATGACCCTGTCTGGAGACCATCCATTTTATATTTTGCTGTACAGAAGCATTGTGGGAAGTCAGCCAGACAAGCCAGATGATATTGAACAGCAGAGCTGGGACAATCATTTTACATTCTTCATAATTTAAAAATAGAGTTTGCAAGTATAATTTTTAAACAAAAACATTTTTTCATGTATTTCCCAATTTGATCTGAAGTTTTAGAAGCATCAGCCTAAACTTTACATGATTTGAGTCACATAATTGAATTTTGTCCATCATCTTTTAGCACACACACAAATCCACTGCTGTGGTCAACACTTCTGTTTTATCCTTTAGAAGGCTGCTATGATACTTTGCAGTACTACAACAAATACATTATTTAGAAGCTGCTATGGTCCCCAATTTGGGGGGAGAAAATACTACTGCATTGCCACTACCATGAAGGTCGGAACAGGCAGAGTGCTGCTCAGATATCAATGTTATACTGGAAATTATGAACAGTCAATTGAAATTTAGATTTATTCTGAATCAAAATGAAAGATTAATAAAGTTTCCCTTTAAAAAAATCAATGTTTTGTTTTTCCAAAGTGCAAAAACAAATTCATAAATGAAACATTTCACAGCATTTCAGTAAAGGTACATATTATTGCAATTTGTATCGTTAAGTAGTGCAAATAACAGTACAATTTAAAATATTGTAGCCCCATTTTTGAAATGGAATCCTTAATTTCAAACTAACAGCACTAGTAATTTTCAGAGACAGCACAGCAAACATCTTTGAACAGTATTTTTGACCACCTTTGCCACCTTTGCCCTTTGAGCAAAGCAGACCTTAAAGCTGCCACTGAAAAAAGCAGCCACCTGCCAATTCTGGTCTCCATAGAGAGACTGAGGAAAGACATCAATTCATGTTAAAGGTAATGTGGAATTCAAAGTCAGTGTTGGGACTATAAAACCATAAACAGTGAGCCTGTAGTATTTACACAGCTGTGAGTTCAGATCCAACTTCTTATAAAATTTATGTATTTCAAACAAAGAGAACACTGATGGGGTCTGGCTGTCATCCTGAGACAAGTATATCATCATCTAAAATCTCCTTCAGATTGAGACTCACTGGATCCAAGTAAAAATACTGCATTTTAATGCTGTTAATAGAAGGAAAACACATATGCTTGATGACGAGGTAGTCTCCTTCCTGTGAGCAAGCACACACAAAAATTTGGATCATATTGAGCAATTGTCATAGTTCAACATGGTGAACCATGTCATTAGTTCTTCTGTCCCCTGCACACTTTGACTTTTGCAGGTTTTGTGCAATGTGTTAAGACTGAATAACGGTGCTAACACAAGACAATGCAACATTTCTTAAAAGCAACATGTGATTTCAGCAAGTTTGGTTTAAAAGGCACAAAATCTTTATAGCAGTGATGCAGGTAACTGAGAAATACTGCTTCTGCCCACATGTGATGCATTGCTGCATGCAGAACTTTAACAGATTCAGGACCTGTAACAAGGAGGTTACATGAGAGATGAGCACAGCAGCAGGAAATGATTTACCTATTGCAACAGCTCAATACAACAGGGCTTTGAAATATGGGGAAGATAAGTAAGACAAGGTCTGCTTCTGTATTATATTGAAAGAGCTTACAAATAGCAGCTGAACATGGTCCCCATCCTGCCCTGACCAAAGAGGTGAAATTCTGACCCAAATAGCCTGGTGTTGTTTTGCCCTTCCTTCCCTGAAATTCTGTCTTTCCTGTTGTGCTTTACATGAGACACAAAAACACAGCTCCTACTATCACGGATTTATAAATTCAGTCTCTTCTCTCCCAGCATGTGCCAAAGCTTTCCTAATAGTTTTTCTTAGGTAAGAGTTCATCACCAAATTAAAATGAAGTAATATGACAAGTTAGTAGAATATATTTGTTTAGTTTCATCACAAAAAACACATACTGGTTTAGGCTGATTTTATTAATAATATAAGGTTCTGTAATCTCTTAACATTACAACTGAAGCTTTACAGTTAATCTCACACTAAAATGACAAACACTGTTTGGCTTTATTTTCAGAAAATTAAATTACAACCTTGATAAACATACATTTCCAAGACAGAGAAGCAGTGTGTTTTCTGGATTTCAGTGCTAATGTATCCCTGCCTTTGAAATTGGTTTCAGTTAATTAACATTGCTACGGAAGAACTATTTGGCCTGGCCTCTGTTCACAGCTGTAAGGCAAAGATGACATCTCTAACTTAACCATTGTAATGTAAGTCAAATCAAGACATGTTTTTCTTTGACTGTAAGATTTAGAACCTGGATCAGCTTTTAACAGATTTGCTTCTTTTCCCTCCAAACTTTTATAAAGGTCTCTCTAATGTAAACATATTTTACAGTCAAGCCACAGTCACTGCCTGTACCTTTCCTCATTCAAAGGGAGCAGAAACTGTGTAATTGGAAGTTATTACAAGCTTAATTAAAACTGCTTGTAACTTATGTATGGCCAGAATACTCAAGCAAATGCAAAAGTTTTGTTATGCACCAGCACTTCTAATCTGCATGGATCAAACTCCATCTCTGAACAGGCTGCAGCTACAAGAAGTGAAGTCTGTAGAAAGAAAGTAGAGCATACAGAAGGAAGAGTGGTGGAAGACCACAGTATTAGAGACAGTAAGATTTCCTTTAAATGGTGAATGATCTCTATCTAGGTCTTCTGAACTTGCATTACATTTTTTTCTATTTTCATTAGCAATGTGAAATTAAAGACAGTAATACATATGTTTCAACTGCAGTTTCAACTAAGCTCTGACCGGTTCATAAGATAATATTTAGGAAGACAGCAATATTCATTACATTTAGTGTTAATTTCTTCCTCAGACATATATCCAGTGACGGTCATTTGGGACCCTTGGAGCCTGTTATTTCACCTTCCCATAAGACAACTGACATACAGTAAAAATCTTTACTGCATTTTAAATCACTTCAGAAGTCAGTGGCTATGTAAAGGCTAGAGAGTGTAAGGAGTTTTTACCTTTTAACTGTGTACTTACAATACACAAAAGGATGAGGAAACCATAGTCAGAAAATTAAAAAATGAGACGGATGTTGCAGAGCTGTGTTGTACTGTAGTCAAAATCTTAAGAGATCAGTATTACTAAGCTATAACTACGTGTTCTACTCTGTGCTGTCATTCTGCATAAAAGCTTCACATGCTTTCCTTCAAAATTAATTCTTCATAGTTACATAAACTTTCATTGAGGCACATAAACACCCTTCATATTTACCAGCTTCTAGAAAAGTCTCCACTAGGGAGTGGCACAAGTCATGAGCAAGAGGCCAGCCGTGGCCAGGGAGTCCCCACGAGCAGAGCAGCTGAGGTGAGGCAGTCCCTGCACAGCCTTGCACAGAGCCACTCCCCCAGACACCTCTGTGCACTTAAGGAACACTTAACCACAGTGCAAAGGCTCCGTTTCCCACAACAGACTACCCCCACTGTTTTGGTTACTGCTGAAATACCAACCCCGGGGACAAGGAAAAATAATATATTTTTATACTGAAATGTTGTGAAATAAAGACCATTCAAAATAATTCCAGCTGCATTAACAATATCACATGAACATTCAGTCTTATGACCAGCAGATCATAAAAGAGTTTTCTTCAATTACCTTGACAGCATGCAGTTTAAAGTTATGGTCTGAGTGTCCATGTTTTTCAATCATTTGAACTGTAGCATTGAAATTAATCTTAGAACAAGTTCAGAGTTGTCTGATATGCAGTATCTTTTCAAGCATTTTATATTTTTTTGGTATATTACTAAAACTGAAAGTTAATTAGAGAGTATTCTAAAATAGTTTAAAAACAAAAATGCAATTTATAATTTTCTCCTCATTAAGGGCACTACCAATACAAAAGGTGTCCAAACTGACACTACAGAGATGTGAAGCAGTTGACTAGAGAGAGTCCTCAAAGGATAGTCTGTATTTTTTCTATCTTATGCATATACATTAATTATCAAAAAGTTGGATAATTTGCTTTAAGAAAGAACCCACCTTAAAAATGGATCATGAATATTGACAAATATTTTGTTTATTTTACTGATTACGATTCAAGTTTCAATGTAAAAATGCTTACTCTCACATGATACTGATCAAGAAAATATTTCATTTTCATAAAGTTCCATGGACAGTTAAAATAGTGGCTACTTGTGAAGTAAATAAATGATTCATAAAGGCCATAGGAAACTGTACAAAACTTAAATGGGAAATCTCACTTCCAGGATGACAGTAGGTTGTCCATTTAAGTGTTTTATTAAACTGTTGTGACTGTTTCAAAAGACAGTGCTGGGCAGTTTCATCTGAGTAACTGAAAAAGATATTTTGCATCTGTGCAAAACAAACAACGGGAACAAAACCCATACACACTAGGACTGAAGTACAGATGAACACAAAATTTTGTTACAAACCTGTTTTCAACATACAGTGAGAAATGTCCATTGTACAAAACTTAGTGACTGACCTACAATTAATTTAAGATTATCCCAGCAATGCAAATACAACTCAGAACAGCTCAATTGTGTAAGATTTTCCAGTAGTATTACAGTGAGAGACTACTGAATTTTTAGTAGTTTGACTTACACTGTCTCTTTTGATGAAAGCCTATATTTATAGTATAAGTATTTGCTGGTTACAAGTCTGTTACATACTTAATGCAGTACAGGGAGGTACTCCTTGGTGTTCTCTCATCTGTCTCAGCAGCTTTCCTTTAGCAAGAGGCTGGGCTGTGCAGCTGCATCTGTAGAAAACACTGTTGTCAGTCTTTGTCCTCCTGGCGGGGGATGCTTTAAGTAAGAAACATCTGGCAGTATCCAGCACTGAAAATACTGTCAGCTGTGCTGCCTAGCCCAACTTGGAAACCCAGATTTGCATTTCCTGGTTAGTACTTTATGCCCAGTAGGTTGGAACATTGTTAAGTAAAAGTCCATAAACATTAACAGTGATGTTTACACTTTATTGGGGGAAGGGGGAAGGGAGTAGCAAAAATCAATGTAAGTTACTAGTTTTGAAAGTTTAGTCTATGTTATATTTGATTACTGGGATATCAATACAATGAAAGTGGAGGAATTTCAACAGTAATTTTTAATTTTTAGTACATCATTTGTGGAGGGCTTTATAAAAGATTTTTGTTTCCAAAGATGTTATTGGGGTCCACATATTCTTTAACAGATCTCAGCATTCCCATGCCAACATCAGAGATGCTCTCCTTCATCCAGCGCTTCCGCAATTTGCCTACTGGAAAAACAAAAACAAAGTGTTTCAATATACGGCAGGATTCTAGGAGCCAATCAATCTTGTGACCATGAATGAATAAACACTGTGTGATAAATGCTTTTATTCAAAAATGAGAAATGTTTTGCTTTATTTGATTTATTGAGCCCACCAGACTATCAAGCTCATTAAGCTCAGCATACTCCCAGAGGAAGACTGTGTTCCACACTGTCTACTTTCTTTAGAAACTATGAAATTTAGATGAAGCTTAGGCTGAAATCACATGTTCTATTAAGACAAGGAATCAGTAGTAAGTTTTAAAAAGCCACAAACTAATTTTAAGTTATAAACTGTAGAGGAGATTACTAAAAAGCAGAACCCCGTATTTTTTGATTACTTTAAAGTGAAAACATAACTTGATAATCAAGCTTAAAGCAGTATTGGTTTAAATAGCAAAAAATGTTTATATGAAGAAGGCTTAATATTTAATTTAAAAACTTCTATGCTGGCTGGTAATTGCTCAATACCACTACACAAGAGCTTTGTTTCGCATGTAAAAATGGCTATTCACAAAAAACACCAAATACAAACAAAGCTGAAACAATCTTTTAAGAACTCATTTTACTACATTCTCACAATAGTCCTGTTAAATGGCCAAGTGTTCACATGCTAATTAACCAAATCATCAACTCTGATTAACAGATCATTCAAAACTGAGGACATTTTTTTCATTAAACACGCTTTAGCATTAAACTTGCCAGCCTGAAACACAAGCCATTTGTTAGTATCAAAAGACATAGTAAAGGTTTGAGAAACAGAAGCTTTAAGAGTATCTGAAGCTAAATTCAAGCTATCTTTTGTGCCCTGTTTCATGGTAACCATCAAACTGTCATCAGAATAATAAATTACTGGGACACCTCTGGAGAACAGAGTATATTTATACCTTTAGGAATACAAGCCAGTCACAATGCCAACAGAAAAAGCAAATAATGTGAGACAGAATGAAACCTGCAGTTTGCTAGAAAATGACTATTAGCAGCATGTGTGTCAAGATCAAAGATCACAACTAAAGGACAAAAAGAATGTCATGTGGTACAAACCCTGGCTGTATTTTGCAGCCCCAGCTCAAGAAAGAATCTCCATCTGTGAATATATTGTCACTACAATGTGACTGTCTGAGCACACTGACGTGGTCAAATTCAATCTGTTAAAACTTTAACACTGCTACAAAACACCTGAATTGTGGATGTGGCTTGACCATCCCCTTAAGTCACTCACACTGGCTCTTACCCAAGCAGCTGAAGAACAGTCATTACTATTCTCAACTGTTATCTGTAATATAGTTTCAGTGAATGTGTTCTGTGGTTATGGATGTAATTGTCCTGAAAAGACTGCAAACAACTGCTCCAACAAGATGGAGCACATTAGAATCACAGCAGGATGCCCAACAGCTAGCATGCCTGCCTCTTTTACACCTCCAGTAATAATGCAATTCCACAAGGAACTGAACTACTGTCTGAACAGCACCAAACAGTCGTTGCATATTTAATGAAGTCGCTCACCAAGTGCTGGAAAACAGAAGGTGCTTGGAGTGCATCATTAGTTCTGTCAAAGTGATAATTTACACATCTATCTTGTCAAATTTTCTATGGTTTATACTTTCGCAATAATAAATCTAACATACATCTGATTAGTGAACTGGAAACAAAAAAAGCTGTACTACAGTTACCAGCAGTCCTTCACAAACATGCTTAACAAAAAGATTTTAACCCCTTAGTAACAGCAATGTTGATCCCCTGCTCCTACTCTTCATGCCAATAAAACATCCGTGGAATTTTCAACTACTCAAGTTTCACATTAGAGTTAAAAAGCCTTGAAGCACTCTCTCCTAATTCTAAGCTGGTCCATCAGATAAAATGGAAAACAGACCAAGAGAAGGAAAGGCTCTGTGAAAATGAGAGCAGCACTTCAAAAGGTCTATATAAAGTTTCACTTCAGGTTAGTGCTGTGCTATGCATTTTCTGGTGCTTCTCCTCCACAGCACAAGCCAAATGGCTTCACGGATGAGAAAAGGAAAAGAGGAAGAAAATGCCATAATAGTTAAAGATGTTAGTGTGAACATAAAAATAATTCTAAGTGACAAAGTTGCCTACCTCCACTCTAAGCCTAGCTAAAGAACAGCTTTGTGCTCAAGGAAGCCTCAACTTCTCACCAACAAGATCTCAGTTGGGCCTGATCTTATCACAGACTACAGAAAATCAACTTCCCATTTCTAGCCTAAAGGAAGTGTAGGCTTTTCAGTTTTAGCTCTATGTTAATGTGTTTGTAGTAGCTTAGCACAGCAAGTTACTACTTGTGCACTCAGCCATACACACCATCACATGCACAATCCTTCTGCCCCAACTGGAAACAAACACAGCCCGTCCTTTTTGCATCTTCTCCCTCTGAAGACACTTAATCTTGCATCTGTAAAGAAGATGGAGCCAGGCTCTGCTTGGTGGTGCCAAGCAGAAGTCCAAGAGGCAACAGGCACAAGAAATTCCATCTAAGCATAAGGAATCATTTATTTACTGTTCAGGTGCCCAAGCACTGGAACAGATTGCCCAGAGAGGGAATGGAGGTATTCAAGAACCTTCTGGATGCCACCCTGTGCAATAGTGCTCTAGGATGGCCCAGTCTGAGCAGGGAAATTGGATGAAAATGACCCATTGTGGGCCCTTGCAACCTCACCCATTCTGTGATCCAAGATGAGGTACAAGAGAATCTGTCTTCAAGTTTCACAGATGGCAAGTGGCCTGTTCCTGAAGTGTGCTGAGCAGTCTAATAGTGCCTTAAAACATTCACTGCTAGGAAGCCAGAAACCTCCAATCTGAACCCCAGCCTATTACACTGAGTACAAACCCCACAGCATGGCAGGGAGCCTACTTCTCACAAGGTACTTCAGATCAGAAAGCCAAGGAGCTTGTTCAGTAGCAACTCCAAAGACAGTCCAGCACCAACTTTATTTTAGCTTTTTATCTATCATTCTAGTCCACATATGAAAGAGAAATATGTGAACTCGCTAAGTAACTTTTCCCCAGCTCTGATACTGCTCCATGTTGGTTTCATTGGAAAAGTTCATCTTTCCATTGTCCTTTTTCACTTGCACATCTCTGAAAATGCATCTGGATGGCTACAAATGGAGTGAGCAAACAGCAGGCAGCAATTGGTATTCTCACTTTTGGAATATGAAGTACCAGGGAACACATGAACAGTTCTGTAAGAAAAGTTTTCATGTAGTTGATTGATTTCAGGAATTACTCTACACCCATGCAGAACAGATTTATAGCACTGTGTTGTCCCAGTGGAAATAGGTTCTGATGGCACTGCACATGGCTCTGCACTTCCTCTGCTCCAGCCCTTTCAACTCAAAGAGTCGGTTCCTGCATAGCAACAGCTTTGCAACAGGAGCAGCAGTGACAGGTCCTAAGAAGGATGAGGCTCATGCAGCTGCTGCTCTTCCTGAAGCTAGCTGTCCCTCCAGAAAGCAGCTCTCTGCCCTTACAGTCTGCTAAACGTGCTATTACTCTTCCAGGGAGAACTCTGTAATACTGAGAAAGGTCAGTGCATTAATGTAAAACATGGCAGCACTGGAGGATATTGGACCAGTGTACACCAAGTCTACTGCATAATTAACACCTCACCACCATAACACTTGGCATATTTTCACTTGGTATCTTAACAGCTGAAATAATACTTTCAAGTTTGCTGGTGATGAATCAGGAGGTCCTTTCCTTTTTTAATTTTTTTTTTTGAAAAGGCACTGAAGACGACTATTCTATTAAGACTTCCAACAGACCAAGGAGGAAAATACAACTGTGTTATTGTATTATTTCACATGAGGTTACTCCATGTCTAACAAATGTATCAGTTTCAACTCATTCTAATGAGTAGAACAAGCTCTAGTATGCTTAACCCAAGGGAAGATTTTTTTTTCCCCTGTGTAGAAGAGAAAAGAATGTGTTTGTGCTCAACTCCCCCTCATAAAATAACTTTATCATTTCAGATTCTGTAGTTTGTCTGAGTTAATTATTGCAGTGTATAAGCCACAGCCTCTTAATGCCAAAGAATTGCAATGTCAAATATGTAATTGAATGCAAACAAGGTGTAAGGTTTGTTTTTCCCTTTGTTTTGTTTTAGGGGTTTTGCTTTTGTTTTTAGTGTTGTGGGATTTTTTTCTTATTTTTTGTTTTCCGACATAAACTGCCATTGATACTATAGCTAAACCTATGCATCACAGGCTACATGGTTAACCTTTATTCTAATCAGCTGTCTAGGAAGTAGAAGAAAATTAGTTCTATTATGTTAAGTGGCTAAATGGGGCTATTTTCCTCAACCCCACAATTTGATAATTGTTTCCTGAAGCAACCAGTTGTAGTTAAAACAGTGCCTCAAAGGGAAGCAATGTATCATTACTTTTTACACTGCTTAGTTTTACATGTTCCTTAGCTTGGTAATATGAAAGGGATCAGGTACAAATCCAACCTTCTCCCTTTCTGATGGTGTACCCCAAAGGGGCTATAGTTGTATTTATACACCAGTCATACCTAACGGTGCCTCCTCAGCACATTATTTCATGTGTACAAAACAAAGGCATGTTTGATAAAAGAATTCAAGTGTGACACATCATATGGATGTTTTAAGGGCTTGCCAAAATGATTAGAATAATTATTTATTTGAACTTGAACTTGTATCTACAAGAAATTGTCGCTCCTAATGCTGCTTTTTAAATGCTAAGTTTCTAAACACTATCTATGGCTCTCTAGCAAACTTACAAGACTCTCAAATCTAAATCTAAATCCCAGTGCCCAGAAAGAAGGATCAGAGCTGTGCAATGTCCCTTTCTGAGCATAGGACACAGTCAAGACAGGGTGACAACTATAATGGGGGGTGGGGGAAGGAAGATTTATCCACAGTAAAGTCCTTCTGAAGCTACTCTTCAGAAAGTTAAAAGTTATTTCAGTTCTCACTGTGCACCTACCTGCAGTTGGTACTTCCCCAGATGTAAAGTAATTTATACATTTACACAACTCAAACTGTCATACATGACCATTTCTTCACTCAAGGAGTATATGAACATTGACTTAAGCAGGCTTTGCATTTCCTATAGCCTCAAGTCCCAGACTACATCTGTTTTCTTTGATACACAAACCCAGAGTTAAAATAGCTCCATTTATCACAGTGTGATTGTAGGCAGACAAATCAGCCTGTCTGTTTCCAGATAGTGAAAACAGCTGTTATTAATCACAATTACAAGACAAACACCAAAGGAAATTGCACCAGTACTTTCTTTTACCCTACACAATAGACCAGTCAGTGCTAAGAGTTATAAGGCTTGAAGGTCAGTATATAAAACTGACAATATTAGGCTAATTTTCAGCACCACATCTAAGCACTGGAAAAAAATTAATCTTGAATATTAAACACAATGAACTGCCAGACAAAACCACTCAAAGTGGAAAATATATATCAGTATCAGAGGCAGTCATGCATACAACAGGAGCTTACAAAGTCAAACAGAAATCCAGTTTTCATAGCTGTGGAGTCACAAGGTTCAAGCATGCAAGGGTTTGAAAATGCTATATAATTTTTTTTTTCTTGTTTAACACATGTGGTAAGCAAGGTTTTACATGGTGAGGGCAAATACATCCAAATGTGTGACAAGCTCCAGCTGCATGTGAGTTGGATGGAATGCTAGTCACAGTAAAACAGAGTGCCACGGCAGGGAAGGCATGAGAGTACATCAAGGGGGTAATCCCACATCCAGTGTGTGAGAACTGACAGGTCCACTACACCACCATGTTAAAGATTTAATCAAGGACTGTAAGAGCATATCAAACACAAACTACTGAAACCTTTTCACTCATGTTATTACCTACACATCCCTCAATATCCTGATAGTGCTAAAGCAGAGTCCATTTCAGTTTCCATCACAAAACAAGATGCCTGAAAACAGCCCTAGTTAAAAGTTTAAGTTCAAGTTCCCTTCAAGATTAGAAAGTAACTGACATGTTTTAAAGCACAGCTTCTGCCCTTTAATTTTTTGCCCCACACAGAGCTTTTAGAATTACAATTTTTTTCTCTAGTTTTAAACCATTACACTTCTTTGCTCTTTTATCTGTGACAGGGCAATGCCCCAAGAGAGCAGAGAGAAGAAATATATGAAAATAATAATTTTCAAGAAGGTAGCTGCACAAATCACACTGACATCACAAGTCTTCCTGACATCCATATATAGAGTGCATGCAATCAAATTAGATTACCCATGTATGTGGGAAAAGCATATATAAAGCATCAGGTATAGGAAGTATTGCTTATACAGGACATTGGTTCTTAATATTAAAGCATAAAATATCTTGTGGAGATTCTAGTACAGATTCTAGTAACACAAGCAATCCCCAAACTCCAAGAGAGGAAACTAGGCAACTAGAACTTATCAGATAGCAGGCCAGTAAAGTCAACACTTACATAACATCAATTGTGCAACAAATGGTAGATTGCAACATAGTCCAGTTCAAAGTCACTGGCTCTTTTATTCAGACACTTGGCCTAAGTGCTCTGGAATTTCGGCAAACAGCATTCACGAAGCCACAAGGGACACAAAACTGTTAAAACTTTGAAAATCACATTTGAAGTTTTAGTAACTGAATATATATCTACAGAACGATCAGTAAAACTTGTTTAAGACAACCTGATCAAACTGGAAAAAGAGTGAGAAGTTTCTAGATAAAATGCCAGGAGATCTCCTTCCTCCCTCAGCCCTCCCCCAGTAATTTCAGTTAATGCCATGAAATATTTTTCAGAATTCTACTACAAACTATTTTATGTACTCATGAATACTTAGCAGTATCAAAGAGACTAACTTTAGACTGAGAACATTACCTCCATGGTGATGTGAAAGACTTCCTCCATTGGCAAGTATTTCTTCTCTAGCAGCCCTCTAAATTTGAAAGAGATGGTATTTATTCAACAGCAATTGCACAAGACTTTTGGATTTCATGAAATGCTTGCTATTGCACTCATACACACAGGTATATGAAAAGTTTCTGAAGTCATTAGGGTGCATTATATAGGTAAACATTATAGTTCAAGCCTGTAGATAAAGGTAAGTAAGAGTCTTCTAAATAAACATCAAAACCATGATATTTCAAATGGCATCTCTTGTAACAAATGGACTACTCAAGAATAGAGTATTCTGGATCACTTTCCTGTTGCCAAAACTTAAATATCCAGTGACTGGGATGCTCATTTGGAAGATGATTAAGTATCAAAAAAGAAGTCTTAAAACAGGCTTGTCAGAGCAAGTCAAGATTCTTATTCAGATCAGAGTTCAACCCAGATTTCCAATATCCTGGTTGAGGCAGTGAGGTACTTTACAACAACCTTTTCATGGGTGCAGTTTGTGGCAGAAAACAGAATTTAGTTTTTTATGTTGAGAATGTTCACGTTGTAGAATCTTCCCATTCACTTCTGAATAATTAGAGAGCTTAGAAGGTGTAAACAATGAAAGCTTTTCTAAGCCCAAGCACTACATGTTTTCTTTTCTAAGAGTGTCCTCTTTTAAGAATAATATATATAGCTGCAGCTGTGCAGTTAAGAGAGTTTTTTTCAGTCTGCCATACAGTACATATACTTGGTCAGCAAACTCACTTTGCTAGGTTAAATTTAGTTACTACAATGGAAAATGTGCATTCATGTCATCAGACAAACCAATTCCAATAAAAGAAATATCTAGGTATAGGTAAGTTTCATTAAATAAATACTCAAGTATTACATTCTTCAGTGCCCTATATGCAACAGCATGGAAGCCTCTGAACTTGTAGACAAAACTTTGCATCCACTTGCCAAATTCAAGAGAAATTTCTAAAGAATAAGCATGAAAAGAATGATATCCCAGTTTTAAATACTATTTCTCTACAGTCCTATTAGCCAGAATGTAGGACAAAAAGCAGTTTGGCTATAGTCCTTCTAAGAATTGCATCTTGAAGGTAACAAGGGCATTTGTTTCATCTAACTAGGCATGTTCAGTGTTTCATCAGCCAAGTGTTACAGCAGAAGTATTGCAGAGCTGCTTGGCCAATGCTGAAGCAGCTTACAACTGGTCTAACAGACTGGACTTAGAGCAATGCTTATCTCAGCCTAACAGAAAAGGCATGACACAGTACCATTCCTTATTCTCTACATGCAGCACTATTAATAAGGTATGATCTTCTCAGTTTTACCATGCATTTTACAGACTGAGTATTAAGCAGAAGAAGTAGTTTTGTAAATGATGGAACTAAGGAAGACTAGTTTCCCATGGATTTGGGGTTTAAGGTTTGAAGCTCCTGCCATTCAAGAAACTCCAGGTCAAGCTCTTCTATCCTTCAGTCAGAACTATTCATGTACTGATATCTAAAATGGTCACCTGGTAGCCTTTTCTCTATTTGATGAACTATTAACATGTACCTCTTATTACTGATAATGATCAAAGCTTTACAAACAGGCTTTTGAGCTCTTTCCTGCAGAATTCAGTAAGCTTGGCCAATAGGTTCAGAACAAAATACAGGTCATCAGCTTTTCCCCCTTTAACTATTGTTTCTTTATACATTACCTCAATTTGCTCATAGACATGAATAGGATCACTAATTCCTCTGTAGTTAAAGGCAAAGTAGAAGTAGACACATGCACCTGCATCGTAAGTCTGTGTCACCCTGTTGAAGAGAACTACATTACAAACAAAGCTTTATGATATTAAGCCAACCACTATTTGACAGCATAAAATTCCTAAGATTACTTCCTATCTTATTCAAAGGGACAGCATCTTTTTTTAAAAATTTCTTCATCCTTTTTGCTCCTAATCCATGAGTGACTCAATGCTATGACTTTGAAAGTTGAAGCCCTTAAGTCATTACAATTGACTCTTGTCAATTGGAAGAAGTGCTTAGGCTTGAACTCTCAACTCTTCCATGTAATCCACTTGCACGTTCAAGAGGAAGGTTAAGGCTACTAGTATTTGTAATATCATCACCAGATCTCTTGCTGAACAAAGATTCAAGAAAAATTATTTCTGTTATTGCATGGCTTACCTACAGGTGGAAAGAGGAGCAAACTGAACACCCTTTTCTTTGCATTCTCGTACTATCCTTTCCTTTACATTTCTACAAAGGTCCAAAACCCTGTAACAGGAAACACATTAATAAAAATTTCAATATTTGATTTTACATAGCTTCTAAAAAAAGAACTTCACAATCTTTTAAAAAAGCATAATCTAATACAGCATAAGAGTGCCTTCTAAAATCACTGTTAACTAGCTTAGCCTTTGTTCTAAGAATAGTTCTCATCAAGACTCCACTGCTTTTTCTGCACTTCTGTATAGCAAGTTTACTCTGAGACAGAGAACCTAAAAGCTCTTCTTCATAAGGAAGAGGTATCAACAGTATTTAAAAAAATAAGGAGATTACCTACTTCTGTATGTCTCTACTTTCTTAGCAAAATAGCCTCAAAGTTTTGGAAAAGTAGTTAACAAATACAGAAGAAATCCTGAGAACTCAAAGGTCTGGCAAACTGTACTAACACCATACCTTTGTGTTGCTGCAAGGCCAAACCTGCAGATCCCTCAGCTGGGCATTACTCTGCCAACCTGAAACACTATAATTCTAATGTGGCAATGAGCTATTAGACCTTGTTGGAAGCCATACTTGTTCTGCCTTTTTTTTTTTAGGTTCTTCTAGAACAGATCCAGGTGCAAACAAATTGCTAGAGCAAAAGAAATCACTGTTTTCCAAATTACCATTTCTTCAGTTACACATTCTCCCACAAAGGTCTGCAGAGCTATAATTCAGATTTTGGTGTTTTACACAGATTTAGAACTACATTAAAGATTCACAGAACATAAGAGAATTTAACCATTTAGTGAATAAGAAAGTCAGCTAAATATTTTTTTCAAGTATCTGCTACCTGTCAAGAACAAGTTAATCAGTTTATGGAAAGTTACATGGTCCTTATAAATCAAAGCAGAAAAAGGTTTTTAAAGCATTTGCTTTGGTGGGGACAACTTAAAATACTTTCTTAAGTAAAAATTCATTGTTGTCTGAAACGAGGGGATGGCAAAAAAATTGGCGACTAAGAAGTTAGCATGCTTCAAAATCTATAAAACTAAAAGGAAGAGCACTTTCACTTTAAAATTGTCCTCAAATTTCTTCTACACTCTTAGGACATTGTGCCAATTTTCAAACAGGGGCTGAAATTTACAATTGCCACTAAATTCAATAGCAAGGGTATAGGGTTGCCAGCTTAAGTCATCAGGCTTTGCATTGAATGCTGTAAAGCTTTGATTCAAATCACTTTAGATCCTATTTAAGAGATTTCAGCCTTATCAAATGGACCAGAGCATCCAAAATGATTTTGTATATTAAACTCTGTTGTGGTCAAATGTTTCTCAACCATAGCTAATAGATAAAATACCCTTAGGTAAAAGATCTCAATCTTGGGCAAAAGTTACCTTTTCAGTATTTCCCTACATTGCTGGAAAAAGAAAAAAAACTTACTTAAATACATTTGATTTTTTTCATCTTCACTACAGACTAATCCCTTTGAAATACACTGCTGATCCCACACAGGTGGCTGCTCGTCCCCCACTGTAATTACTGTCACCAATGTCCTGCCTCCTAAACAGGGCAATTTCAAATTCTAAATTTGTTACAGTAAGGTAACCTAAGATGAAATACTACTGAAAGCTTGATACGCTGCATGTATAAAATTCTGGTATGTAATTTATCAGCAACTTTAGCAAGAACACAGAGCTGCAAGACTCGAGGTATGTCAGGCTGCATCCAATATATGTAAGGCCTAAAAGAAGCATCCTCATGAGCAAACATGAGTTAGGAACCATTTGAATGAAATCAAGTTTTAAGAAATTCTGAAAAGTAATCAGAGTTTACCTATCCCAAGGAACAGATGTCTCAAATGATTCTCCTATTATGTAATAATCCAGGCCTAGGTCCTAATAAAAAAAGTAAGGAAATTATCAGTAACATTCAGCATCAGCATCTGGGATTCCAGTGTATGCTACACAGTTATCAGGTGAACAACTTTTTAGTTTGCAGAAGAACAGAAATTCTAATTTAGCAAAAACACCCATATGTCCCACTGACGCAAGTTTATTATTAATAGGGAAATAGGGAAGCTCTTAAAGATGACAAACATTCTGATGTCATGGCTACACTGAGATAACTTGTCAGACTGTCAGGACATCTACACTAATCAAATATTTTTATCACTATAGTACCAAGCCAAGAGTTTGACTGTGCTCATCAGTATAATACCTAGTGAAAATATTTTTGTGCAATGTAGTCACTGTCTAGATAGAAAAAAGACAAACATCTTCCCATCTGACACACAGCCTGCTGAAATAAAGGGAGATTCAGTGATTTGTCCCCAACAAATCAAACACTCAGGATGTGCATATTGTTCTGAAAAATAAAATCTCAAACAGTAAGACTAAAATCTGCAGCAGTTTAGACTAAAAGTCCTTTATGCTGGAATTCTGATTTAAACCAGTCATAAGCAGATTGCCAAAGAAGAGTAAAAAGACAAGTGAGCACATGAGTATTTCAAGTACACTCCAGCCTCTGATTTCATTCACCCTGTGGATTCTTCAATCTAATCTCCCTACCCTTTATAAGAAGCTATTTTCTTAACAAGAAAATAAATTAATACTATTGCTATTCTTAACAAGAATATAAATTAATGTCTATGGTGTTTTGCAGATGGAATTCCATGAATAATCACTGCTCAGAAATGGAAGAGATACAACCTCTAGGTTGATCCTGGGTTGATACAACCTCTGAGATATCATCCAAGGCAGCCTGCACTCAGATTTCAGAGAAAGACATGTTTCTTTGAAGATGCTATGTTTTGTTACATTAATTAGCAGAAGCTGCAGCAGACAGACAAAAGCTGACCTACCCGAAGGTAAGCGATGACAAATGTCAGCATGTATCCTCTCTGTCCATTATCTTCTCCTGCTGCCAAGCCACTGCAATTTACAAGAATTTAATTAATTTTCCACCAAATTAGTCATCAGTTTCTAAAATATTTATAAAATAACTTTGATTATTAAACATGCATTCAAGTTTAGCTGCCTAAGCTGTGTTAAAGTGGTTGCTAATAGCAAGGTCTCGTCACTAGAAATCAGAAGTTACTTCAGACCAGATCTTTATTCATTCCTCTTTTCATTCCATAACCTGGAGATGAACTTCACAAAATATTTGACGTAATCTTAGAAAACAGTCTTCAAAACTCACAAAAGAGTGGAGAAACACAAGTAGACACAATATATCCTGGATATTCATTTACAGGAACATGGGTAATTACATTTCTAAGCAGGTTGAATTTGTGTACTTTTATGTGTACAACTTCTGAGACCCCAAGACTTAAGATCCCCAAAGCATAAGAGATCTGAATGAATTAAAAAAAGACACAGAGTTCATAGCTCTAAAGAAAAAGGAAGCCTTGCTTTCACTAGTCTAGCAAGGATTATTGAAAGCATTTGTTTTTAACTATTGGTTTCTAAGAACAAGAAAGTGCTATGCCTCTGGAATCAGTCTTCCTACATGCTCCCATAAATCTGAGAGAGAGATGGGTATGGGTGTGAAATCAGGCACCCTGAAGAAACATAGAATTGAAGGATTTTATAGTATAAAGCCATTAAATAGTTTAGCATTTTAAAACAGGTTAACCTATTGAAGATTTCACTAACAGCCTTAATAAAGCAGCATAGACAGCATCATCTTCTAATGCCTGTAACACAGACAAGTTTCCCCCTTACCAACACACTACCATCTTGAAATACCAAAATACAAAAGTATTCATAGTTGAAGTAACAGAATGAAAGCATGATAAAAACACAAAATTCAGAAGTTATAGCCTTGAAATGGATAAAACAGCACTTATATGTATATTTGAATAGCTGAGACTAGCAATAGCAATAACAGTACATTCTTGACAAATCACAGTTTTAATGATAGTTTTAATCAACCACACTTAATCAAGGCAGAAGGAAAGAAACTGCTTGATCATTACTCAGCCTGCCACTTCAATGGGTGTTTTCTGTCCCTTTTTGGGGACAGAAAAGTGGCAGAAAATTTTCTGTCCCCAAAAAGGGACAGAAAATCACTGCACTCTTTCAACTAAACAAGTTTCTTGTATTCATATACTCACATGAATTCTGCAAAAATTTAATATCACCCTAATGATTTTGTCTCTCTTTCTGTAGTGAAAATATAGAGTCTAGGATTGCAAAACAAGCTGCTTCCATGCCTGTAAGCAATTAAAAGGGCTGGTTTCCATTTTAATAACATTCATTTTATATTTAGTAAATATTTTTCTTCAATACACAGACAGCTGAAGTTTTTCAGTAAAGTTACCTATTAATTAGTACAAGCCACATGTATCAAAGGGAGCATTCAGTAGCTAATTGACTGCTGCCACTTCAAACTAGTAAATCGAGAACATATTCATACAGTAACCATTACAAAAATATGGTAGTCCAATTTTTTCCTGGACAGCTCATTCCCAGCTTCACAGTGAAAATGTTCTTTGAAAAGCATACCCAAACTTGGTGGCAATATCATAGACTTGCTTCTCATGCTGAAGAACCTTCTCTCTGTCACCCTCAAAGAGCAAGGTAGCTACACACAGTATATTGGGATCAAATCCTTTAAACTGCAGAGAGAGACAAACTTGCCATTAGTCACAGTCTACATGGCAGAATACAAGGAACAGGTTTTTACTTTTCAAAGACATGGCATGTGCCCTGGTCAGGAAGTATTGCTGTAATTAAGAGGAATGATGGAGGAAAAAGTCTTTCAAAATTTACTCCCAAAACACTAAAGTTTTTCCTTGACAGGACAGGTCAATGGAAATAACAGAAATTGTGTGTCACCTCTTTCCTCCTGTTAAAAAGCAGGATAAGCATAACAGCTGTCTACCTATGCTGTAGGAAAAAAAAAGGTCTTAAATGCTTTGAGCAATAGAGACATTTATATTTAATCAACTCTTCCTGTGTTAAACAGCTAAAAAGGCAGGAAGAAAACTATGACCATTATGAATGTGGAGGGAAGGAAAAACTTCTGGGCTATCTCTAAACAGAGTATGTATTCCCTAACAAAAGAAGCTCCAGACACATATTATTTCCCACTTCAATAATCCAAGAAAAAACAGCAGAATCAACACTGGTCACTGTCTTCCAGAAGTATGCCCACTCTTGGAAGATAATGAAATTTTTCTACATTTGAATACCCATATTTGCAGTAACTCTCTAGTTAGGTAATTTGGAGGGAAAAAAGTCAATAATAAGATAACGTATTTAACACAAAAGCCTAGGTGACATCATTTTAGCACCAAATCATTGTAGGTTAAAAAGGAATGAATTCCAGAAAGACAAAAAAACAATTTGTGTGGGAAAATCTGCCTAATATCTTGAGGATCTTGCAAAATTCTAGCTCACTCTAATAACAAGGTAGATCATGCCTTGGAAAAAATCTAGGAGGATGAAAATATAGTATCAGTATTCACTGATCCATCAGTATTCACTGATTATCACTGGTCTGCCAGCTGGGTAAACTGGTTCCAGTCTTCCCCTGTCACCAAGTTACTGTTAGACATGGCACATTAATCTCTTACACAGGTACGACCAGTGACAACAGCCCTCTTGGAATAACTCCTCAAACACAATCTCATTTGAATTCAACCACCTTTAGAACCCCAAGTTCTTACACTGTATTATCAGTTACACTCAAACTCAGCTGCATTAGAAGCAGTTTACCAAAAAATCTTGAATTTTATGAACAGCATGCAAAATTCAAACCAATATTAAAAACCCCAAAATTACCTTTGTGATGTAGAACTTTTTCAGTCCATCCAAAAACGATGTAAAAATGGAAGCAACTTGTGGTTTAAGAGCATGACCTTTGGCAAAAAGCAGAAAAAGGCACATTAAGGGAAACAGTGCTCTTAAGATTCTTACTTCAAGGGGCAAATAAAAAATAGCTTGGTAGTCAAAATTACTAGAATTGCTCAGAGCACTTTGATTATCAAAATTAAAAAGAATTCGCTCTACTCATTTAGAACATGATATAGGAAAAAGTTTCATTAATTTTTTGAAGACATATGTACACCTGTGCACAAATATTTGACACTTTAATTAAGGCTGCCCTAGTTTAGATCTCACAAGCCTATGGCATGTGGAAAATTTTTAAGAGAGCGCTTCATTAGTTTTTACACCACAAAACTAAGCAAAAATCAGTCACTTTTTTTTTTAAGTTACACCAAAACCACTGAAACAAACAGCCAAAAATGGTGAAAGTTAGGAGTTAAGCATTTTTTCTTTAACAGTTATATCACTTGTGTGAAGTTTTCTACATAAAGCTAGTTATTGCTTCCTTAATGACAAACGGGGAACTAAAATTACCAGGATATATAAATGGTGTCTTGGAGCCTGTTAAATTAACATTTCTGCCTCAGGACTGGGTTTAATTGAGATGAAAGTCTTTTACTGTTTGTTCCATTGTTTTCAGTCACAAACAACTTCTGAACTCTCATTACTGCTTCATTTTAGCAGCCTGGCATCTGGCCTACATGCTGTGAGCCCAATTCATAAAAAGTTATGCACCATTTACATGATACTTCCTTCTAAAATACTTCACAAAGCATTTCCTCCTCAATAACACATGAACTTCAACAACTATGTGCTCTCTTTCTTCCTCTTAAGCAAAGAGGAAGTCTCTCTGCAAATACAAACCCCAAGGAGGACATCTACAAGCACACTTCAGTAAGCACAGAAAAAGCGTGGATTTATTAAACCACAGTCTAAAAAACTACTTAACAATGATTACAAGATAAATTAATATTGACACACCTGAAACTATGTTCACAGCTTGCAATTGGTCAAATTGTGCTTCCCAAAGAAAAAGAAATGCACCTGCTTCCGTTGGACATGTCAGAGCAGAATAGTGTAGCACAAAATGAGCAAAGCAAGCAGCAAGGCTTGCTGAGGTTCTCAGCTCTTCCAAATCACAATTTCCTTGATTTGAAAAAGTGGTTTTTTCAACACCACTACATTAATGCCATTTGAAGCTGAGATTTATCACTGAGGCTTCTGTGCAAAAGAAGTTTCAAGAAATCTGACTTGCTGAAGTGTCATAGTAGAGGTTTTCAAGGTCAGTCACACTTTCCATTTTCATCTTCTGGGTACAATCAAAATAGCATGGTCTCAGCAAGTTCTGCAAGGTATTAGCTTTTGGGTCATGGAACTTTAGAGTCTCCATCAGAGTGACTTGAGCTATCTTCTACCAAATCCGCTAGAATTTAAAATGACAGCTTTCCCTTAGAATTGCTGAGATATTATTGTTCTGCATATCTGACATTATCCTATTTAGGTATTTGAACTAGTTGAAATTTTATGAAATCTTTTGTCTTCAGGAATCTTCTGGTAGCTTCACTGACTTTCAATACCTAAAGCCTAACAGCTTAGATGCACTTGCACACACTTACAGCACTTACACTTTATCTTTTTTTGAAAACAGACAGATCACTTTGGGCAAATATGTCATTACCTCTGTCCCAGTCAAATATTATATCAGAATATTTTTTAAAAACCTAAGAATTCTAAGGAATCTGTGAGATGCTTTCATGAAATTTAAAGGAACCAACCCACTTACCTTGAAAATAAGGTGCGGGCATCCTGGGTTTTTTTTTTTCATATCCAACTTCTCATTAATACTTTTAGGAAGAAAATGTTTCAAGTACTGTATTTTAAAACTAGAATCTCTACTCCTTTACAGCAAAATAGAGGAAGTGATTCCAGACTTTCAATCTCACCAATAGACTAAATGTCAAGAAAGGAACCAGCAGAAAAACCATCTCATTTATAGGCAGAGCATGGCTCTTTACTGACTCAAGTAGTGCATAGTGTTTCCTCAGAGACAAAGACAGGCTTCTGTTTCCCAAACTCACACTATGGCACTATCTGGAGTTTGAACTCTGGGTTCACTGCTCTCTGTCCAGATTTGAGCAAAAGAATTACTACCCAAAACAGACTTGAACTACTAAAAAGCCCTTGGAAACATGATACTCCATGATGATCCACATACTTACCAAACTGAAACTGTGCATTGTCGACAAGGCGAATTGATGCAGGAGCACATCTCTTGGAGGCAAAGTCAGGGGAGTAAGAGGAAGGAAGAATAAAAAGATTACATATATAGTTGGTTTTAAAAGTCATTACAATTAAATTTTCATTACAAAATAGCATATAAGAAAGCACACTTTGATACCAGAGACCTCTGGCCATCACCATCATTGAAACAGGGTGACTATAAACTTGTTTTCACTGGAATAGTAACATCTACTAGGTATAGTAGATGGTCTAGATATAATGCATGGAGAATTTTCAGTTTAACCTCAAGCCAACACAGGAATAGTCCAAAAACATTGATCTTCACATTTTGATTGTTTTTCTTAATTGGCATATGCACTAAAGATAGTACACCTGTTTAGCACATCAAGTTTATGTTTCTGTGTAATCAGAGACACATACATAAAAAAAAACATTGAAAAAGTTTAATTGTTGAAGGCCATCTTGGCATGCAGCTGAGCACTACACAGCTGCTCACTCAGCCCCCTCCCCAGTGGGATGGGGAAGGAAAATCAGAGGGCAAAAGCTGAAAAACCCATGGGTTGAGATGAAGACAGCTTGGTAAGCAAAATGGGGGAAAACCCTCCACAAAAGCACAATGCAAAAAGCAATCAATTACCATCAGCTGACCAATATGCAGCCAGTCTTCAAGCAATGGCAACCCCTATGAAACACCCCCCTCTATTTCATTTATGATCATGATGCTATATGGTATCTGCCTTTAGTCAGTTTGGGTCAGTTGTCCCAGCTGTGTACCCTCCCAGCCTCTTATCTGCTCCAACACACTTGGTGGTGGGAAGAGAGGGAGAAACAGAAAAAGACTTGACACTGTGTACACATTGTTTAGCAATAACTAAAACACTGGTGTGTTAACACTCTTTTGGTTACAAGTACAAAAAGCTAACACCACACATGCTACTATGAAAAAAGCTGATCCTGGCTGGACCTGGTACATTCATGCTCTGCTGTCAGACTGCAACCAAAATCTGTACTCGGGTCTAATCTAGATTCTGCACTGTACAGGAATCTGAAAAACTGTAAGAACAGCTGCATTCACTTAGGTAAGTTTCTGGTCATGTATATGCCTACATTGTATACTCACTGATGGCCATGTCCAGTCATACTTAAATGTATGGCCAGAGGAATATGACAAAAGTCTGAATTTTAGGCTAGTCATCATCTAATCACATGGATATGGAATGTACTTTTCTTTCACTCCATTTGACATGTTCACTCCTCACAATATCATTAATATGTATTTGGTCACACAAGAGGAAGAAAGAACATGAAGAGCTAAGGGAGCTCACCAGGCAGGTCGACAGAAGGCTGTGGGAGTGGTTTTAAATGAGACCAACCCACCCACACCCTACAGGCTGACTATCCTTACATTAAAGTGGTCTGATACATAAAAGAGCTTTTCAGAGAGCAATCATTTTAATTACTACTCAGATTGATGCGAGGGGCAACAGAAGAGAATAAGTAGTTCAGGCTCAAGTAAGCAGAGAAACAGCAGCAGCAGCAACAGAAGCTTAGAAATGGAGCAACATTAAGTGGCAAATAGTGCCTCTTTTTTTCCCTCTAACTAAAACCACAGACAGGGAAAACACATGAGTTCCTTAACTGGTTTTAAATGTTGATCAGCCACATGATTAAGCATTCCCAAAAAGTCTGCTGAGGTACCTTTAAAAGGAAGGACAAGCACTAGCAGTAGAAGCACGACAGAAAAACTGGCAAGTGCTGCTGACTAGCATATACATGTCATTCACATACCAGTTTGAACATCTGGCTTGGAACATTAAGCCATTAATTTAGACCAATCACTGGAAAAAATGTAAAGCTGTGTTTAGTTTGGCATTAATTAAAACATTTCTGAAATTATTTCCCCAATTCAGGGTGCAATCTACCATTCATATATATAATTTGGTATAATTTTGCACAGAGCAGAGGAAAGTTAGTCAGTGGAGAAAGAGGCTAGCCAGACTAAGATTTGTTTGGATGCATAGCCTTGAGGAAAAGTACTACAGAACTTTGGTATATAAGTACTTCACTACCTGAAACCATCTGCCTGCACTATTCTCTATTTAAATACCACAGTGTAAGCACAATTCCACTTGGTAATATCCATCTCACCTGCCCATGTCACTGTGCTCTAGGCAGTGATTTCTAAACACAGGCCATATCCTTCAAGTGCATTCCTTTTGTTCCTTTACCACTTCAAAGCCATGAATTCAACTGCCTTTTATATATATGCTGCAAGTCAATTCCTTTAAACACTGGTTCCTTTTACATAGTCCTAGTTAATCTGAGGGTAAAGTTCTCAGCGGAAGGAGATACAAAGCTGAATTTTTCAGGCTGCAATATGAAATAACTCCCACTGAAACAAGCCATTAAAAGTCTTGTCCATGTTTTGGCTCAGAATACCAAGCAAAGTCATAACATGCTCAGTCCTCAACTGAGTAATTTCCAAAATCTTCATGGACCATATCCTGCATTTCATGGACCATACACGTTTACGAGATTCCTACCTCAAACTCCTGGTTATCATCAAGAGCCAGAAATACTGAAGCATCAATACACCCCTACTGCTAGAATCCATGAGTCCTTGAGAGAAGTCAACAGCCAGCTTTTCTTTACCTGCTTTGCCACTTCCCTCAAGCAGGCCACCCCTCGCTCAAAGTTGGGAAAGACCACAGAGCCGTACTTCTGGTACTCAGGGACCGGGCGAATCTTTATCGTAACTTCAGTAACCACTCCAAGGGTTCCTTCAGGAGAGGAGAAAAACTGAGCAAAGTGTTCCAAGATGGACTGCTTGCAAGCTACCCAACTTAACATGTACCAGAATGTTGTAAGTTAACATAAATCAGAAATCCCCAAAATTCAGTTTGCAGTAACAGGTGATTTATTCCTTACTTTTTACATGGTCAATTCTCACAAAATATTCTCTAAATTGTGCTCTTTGTTACTAGACTTGTAGGCTGACTCCACAGGTCCATTTAAAGCAGTGTTAAAAGCTGCACCTTCACAGTCCTAATTAAGGTCTCCATGTTTTATTCTAACACAAGAAATTGATGCCTGCACAATGCCACCCATCAACACACTGGAAGCCACAGCATTAAAGATGCTCAAATAATCAAGCATTACTGAAGCTGAATTAAGATGCAGTATGTGAAATTACTCTGTTTATACCTTCAGATCCCATAATGAAGTGATGGATATCAGGTCCTGTTGACATGCGAGGTACTTGACAGTTTTTTTCTACTATTCCTCTAGGAGTTACCATTTTTATATGAATCACCTGTTTAAACAAAGTGCAATGACTATCAATACTAGCATTAAGCACATTTTATTATATTTATTTTCCACAAAACATATTAAGTTTGATACAGTTTGGCTTTATAGGTTTTAGACATTCTGTAGGCAACCCCAAGAACCTGAGAACTGTTACCAACCATTATTTTGACACAGCATGGTTTCCCCACACAAGAGATAATTTCCATTCTATGAAAAATCATATCAACTGGTGCCTACATCCAGGCAATACCAGTTAAAACTGTTTTGCTCCTCAGTGTAGAACTTCACAGATAGAACTTTATATACACCAGTATTTTAATCATAATATACATTATGATATACAGAGGGAAAAAGTGAGGGTTTAAACTTTGCTTAAGTTTTGCTTTAGAACGGCTGTTTGATGAAGCTACAATAATTCAGTCATTGATTGCTACAGAAATATTTCACTTAGGAGGAAAGACGGAAGTAGTGAAATACTTTGTGAAATAGATTATCAATATAAAAGCTGCCATAAGACTGACACATGTGCAGGGCTAGGAAGTTGTTTTTTAAAAAGTATTTTTCAATGTTATTGTTTCTAGCTTCATTCAGGCCCGTGCAATAGAGCCCACATGTGGGTTTTCTTAATCCTTTATTCAATTCAATCCTCTATTTTACACCAAGGAAGGGTAGAGTTTCAGCTTTGCTTTAGTGATGCCTTTAAATGAAGCAAAATTACTGAATTTCAGCTAATGGCTTTACAACTTTCAAGCACAGGTAGTTAAGTAATTTTCACTCTATGCAATTTATGAACCATTGACTCTGCAGTAAGTGGATTTTAGGCAGCTTATATAACACACTGTTTCAAGATATAAAGCTCCTCAAAAGGTAAACACTTCCTTGAAACAGTCTCACTGTGCTATTTTGAAACTCATGAAGTGTTCTGAATCAATTTTCGCTCCTATTTCCTCCTAATGAAAATTTCAGAAGCTGTTTTAGCCTGAAGTTATGCTTCCATAATAGGGAAGCCTTCTCCTTCACACCTCCCAGAACAAGCAAAACTGTACCATTCAGGCAGCAGGAGGATGATGACACTTTGTAAGTGCTATGAGTTTTACTGCAGCCAGGGCTACTGAATAAAAACTAAGTCATTCCTGCCAGCCTCAGTCGCTGACAGTGAAGTGTCACATCTGTGCACAGAACAAATATGTCTAAACTAGGAACTGATGAAAAAGCCTAGGGTAACATGGATACATTACCTAGAGTGTGCTGCAGGAAAGAAAAAATTCACACATGGAAGGGTTAAACAAATTATGAGAGAAAGCTGGAAGTTTGAAGCAAGAAGGCAGGCAAAGTCTGAGCAGCGATGATTTATCTTCAATACATTCAATGCACTTGTTGTTACAGAAAACGTAGACTTTAAAATCAGAAAGTATGCTTAAAAGTCAAAAAATTATCTGAGTTAATATAAAGCTGAACCATTTTAATGACTAAAACAAATTCAAGAGTAGAACACTGCCATTCCCAGTGCACTGCTTCTTTCCTCTGGGTTCCTACAGACCATGTGGTGGCACTAGATCTCACCACTGTGCACCCACATGCTCAATTAGATCAGCCTACTGATTTAAAAAATACTGCTAGCCACGGGCATGTAGGAAGGTGGGGAGCTTGCTTGCTGTCCAACAGCTCAGCGAGACATCTTCAGGTACACACAACAGGTAGGAGAGACCATGGCACTTCTGCAAGTTTGATAGGGTTATTACACTGGATGAATAGAGAGTCCAAAAGAGTAGAAGACAGCACCAGAGTCAAGACAGAGTAACAATTCCTTAAGCTAGTCAGTGAGTGCTCAAATGAGAATTACTTTTATGTCAGTGATAAGGATTACTAGTACTAATACCAAAACAAGGAAACAAGCATGTCAGTCAAGATTTGATGCCAAAACTGTATAACAAAAAGAAACACTATTTACCCTCCCAGTGTGAGTCATTATAAAAGTTAAATATCTGAGCAGAAAAAATATAACAAGTATTAAAACTATTTACCAGATCTTCAATGTTTCCATAGATGTTTTTTTTCATGCCTGATGCTCGTGTTGCTACCCAGCCTCCTAGTGAACTGAATTCCATGGAGTCTGGTTCATGGCCTGTACAGAAGCCACTTTCAGCAAGCTAAAGAAAGAAAAGAAAAAAATACATCCTACAGGTCCTGCCTTAACTTAGTACTCCAAATTCAATATTCTATACTTGGTTGGGTTGTTTTTGGTTTTTTTTTTTAATATAAGTATCCTTACCACACACCCATTTATGAAACTGTTATCTTGGATATGTACATGACATGCAAGTTGATTCTGCTTCTACTGTGCATACCTGTGCTACATATCACCCTGTGACACTCCTCCCCTGTATTTTAAAACTGAGAAGTCTATTGTTCAAAACAAGGTGAAAATTCATATACATCTGCAAAAAAAGTTATAACTTAAGTAAGTGCCAACTTTGCACAAACACTGCCAATAAATAAGGCACTTAATCTCTTGTTCCTTCTATCCTAACGTGATATGCAGCAGGTCTGCAGAAAATTTGAGCAAATTGCCTGTACTTAATTCTCTCAAGGAGAGATGTGTTTTAATATACAGCCATCTGGTTGGGCTTCCTGTATGCAACACTGTCAACTATTTGTGATGCAGATCATGCATTCCTGTACATTAAGTAGTCACTTGTTTCTCATTTTTCTGCATTAACTTGGCCTTGCCATCTGCACAGCACCTGAGGTTGACAGGATGCCCTCAGAATTACAACACCAAAGCTGTCAAACAGCAAGAATTAAAGGCCAAGCAGTCTCACATTAAGTGATAACTGCATTAGTGTATTTGAGATAATAAATTTGCACTGACCAACTGATAACAATCATGTTCAACAGCTGTATTTAAGTATACCATGTAACATGGATCATTAACTATGTTCTGTTGTACACAGTGGCTCTAACTTAAAGGCTGAAAGTGACTTCTACATCCTGTTTACAGCAATTCATTTAGCTCATGGTTTTCTCTATACCACAGGAACTTGTGGCTTTGTATGTTTACTGGTCATATACTAGGAAGGGTGGGTTTATGACCATTGCATGTAATTCTTACCAGCTGCATGAAAACACACAAGAATTAAGCTAGAATTCAATGATTTGGACAAGGTATGAACAATACTTAGAAATAGAATAGAATAGAAAAAAATATATATATAAAAAAAAATACTAGAAACTTAACCAGATAAAAATACCTGTTTTTCCAGATCTTGTCCAACAATGCCAGCTTCTACACAAGCTGTTAAGTTTTTTTCATCTATCCAGAGAATCCGATTCTGTTGAAAAGCCAATTAAAACTAAGAATGAGTGTTTAAGATTTCTGTTTACTTCCTTCCCTAATGCTATAGGATCAACATACTTAGTCATACAATTTACTATTAATACCACTCCAGTTACTATACCAGTGGAAGCTGAGGCTCTTCACTCCCTCAAACTGCTACACAACAGGTTTCAATTTACAGTCACCACTACAAGAGACTAATACATATATCTGTCAATTTATACCAGGGATGTTTACAGAATAAAAAGCAAAAAAAGCCAGAAAGAATTAAATCAAAACTCTTGCAGGAGTCTCCCTCTCACAAGGTATGGGCTAACTAATTATTCAAAGTGAACTACTTCAGCTGCTTCAGTTTCAACATAAACTGCTTAACTGATCTCAGATGCCTATATAAATCAGTTTTTATGCAATAGGGACCCTATATAAGATAAAGATAACCATTAAGCATTTATTAAAATAGCAAAGCTTCAGCAATCATCTTAACTGCCCTGAGACACATATGTTTTAACTTTGACAATGCTTCCTTTCACCTTAATTTTCTTATTTTCTCTCTTCATTAATGATAACAAGAACTGGCTGGCAGTCATTCAAGAACTCAAAACTGGTTTATTTTCTGACTCAATGCTTATTTACCCATCTAGCTGACAAAAAACCAAGATAGTAAGAATTAACCACATTTCCTTGCCACACCTAAACCTGACAAAAGTCAAAGCTGTGGGCTATAAATCAAGGAGTTCAAACGAAGGCCTGAGTCACTAGTCACTTGCTGGATTTCATTCTGCATAGACACCTGAAGAGCTTCCTTCAACATACAAGTACCACCTCTGCAGAAAAAAATCACTTTGTTTAACTGAAGAACCACTGAGTGCAGAAAACTGAGCCAAACCCTAGGTCTTACCTTCAAGGCTAAAGGAGTTAATAAGCTCAGCAAGTACCTGAAGGCAGTAGAGCCTTACATCAAAGATACAGAGCTGTTTCTGAAGCATCTCATTACCAAGTAGCCATAAATCTATTTTAAAAGTACAAAGCTCCTTCATAATGAAAAGATGAAAACTAGCAATAAATTTTACAGAACTTCATTTCTAGACTGCCATAAAGCTATGAACTTCACAGTCTCAAGATGCTATCTAGACAAAAACCCCAGTTATTTCTTGAAAGTTTATCCTTCAAGTTGATTTATATATATTAGGTCACCTTATCAATTTTTGCTTTAAGTAATTTGAAGTCTAGTGCAAGAACTAGTGAAATTTGCAATAACAACTTCTTCCTAGTCTTTCATTTATCCTCAGATACAAATTCCAATATAGAAGAAGAGGAGCTTTCTCTGAGTTTGATCACTTGAAGCTGCTATAAAGCTTAACAGTGATTTTTTTTTTTTCTTATTGAATATATACAGGTCATATGAAGTAGTACAGGACTAATATCAGAAAAACAAACTGAACAGTACCAGTTTAATAATCATGGTGATAATTAATACTTCCATCCCTACTTTATTCTGGAAAAGAAAGAAATGTCATTCTGTAATGATCACCCAAGTAACTGTAGGATGATTAAAAAAACTAAAATAAAACTTATTTAAGAGATCATACCATTTGTGATGTATCTAGGGAGACAATTGTTCTTTTTTCTTCTTCAGGACATTCAAGAGCACTAGAGACACTTGTCCCTCCTGCAAATATGGGAATGATATTTTGTGATCATAAAATTCTCAGGTAGCTTTCTTCCAATAGAATGCCTCTCTCCCTCCTTTCTGATAAAGAACTGAATAAAGCAAGATCACTGAAGTGAACTGTTTGAGTCCAGTGATAAGCCTCTTAAGGCTGCCCCCTTCTCCAGGTTTCACAAAATCAAGGCAGCTGTGGAGCTGAACAATGCTTTAGCAGCACTCCATAACAAACATGACATTCTATGACCATCTCAGCTGCTTCTCTTAAGCCCTGCAGAGAGCTTTAAAACAAAGAAGGATAAGAAATTACAAAGCCACTCAAGAAACAGAGAACTATAGTTTCTTGACAAAAACCTTATCACAGAATGAGCTCATGAAAGCCAAAGCCCCGTGTTTCCTAAGCCCCATGTTAAAACAAGGGAGCTCACAACTCTACTTCAGCAGGCTTAGAGGAGAAGACATCCACAGTGAAAACTGGAAGTCCATTATGAATTCTTTAGGCTGTGGAGGACACAGATTGTACAGGCCTTTAGCTGTACTCTGTATCTGGAACACTTCCTGAAAAGCCCTTGCCACAGGAATTTCTACTGAACAACATCTACAAGGAAATTAGAATAATATTGAGGTAGTGTTTGACCACAATCCTCTCTGAAACTTTGAATTTCAATAGTGCAACAAAAACCCCTAATTTATACACATTGTGGGAACAGTTATGAAGAACACATATTTAAACTGAAGCTGAAGACATTTTCACGAATAACCTTAAACAGTTAGGAGATTTCATAATTTTACTTACCACCAAATGGTATTATGCAGAGATTGTGTTTGCAGGCTAATTCCACAATTTTAACTACATCTTCATGGCAAACTAAAAAAGAACAAACAGTTAAAAAACAGACTTTGTGCTTGTTATTTGTGCTTATTACTAAATACTGCAGTCTCACTAAGCAGCAGCCCCTTTTCCATCTCCAGCAAGGAAGACATTTCAAAGTTAGGCAATAAATAGGAGCTGGGCTCAGAATTATCAGTTATAGAGTAAAGTTTAGACTCAATTCTACATTTGAAGAACTAACTACAGTCTTAGTCTCTTGCTCTACTCATGGATTGAGACCTCCTGCAAATTCTCAGGGCAAGATGGGCCACCAAACAGTTAACAATTCATCTAGGTATTTTGGGGAACAAATCACATGTAAAGCTTTAATTGAAAACAGGCTGTCCAATTTATTTTAAGTGAGAAATAAGTCTCTTCTGAGAGATGAACAGCACATTTCTTTCTTCCTGAATGACATTCAGTTTCAGAAGAGGAGTTGCTGATGAAATCTAGTTTTTCAGGATGCATTCTGTACCTGGTCAAAGAGGGAGGTGGAAATGCTTGTGCACAGCCAAGTAAAAGGATCAAAAAAGGGATCAAATACATTGCATACATGAGTTTGTACAAACAGCAAAGAATGAGCAGGACTAAATAAATAGTTTCCAAACTCTGGCTGCTTCGCTCTTGTCATACAGAGATATTTTAAATGAAGGTAGTCAATCATTTTGTTTCAGCTTTTGGAGCTACACAAAATAGAAGTTGTGGCAAGTACTGCTCACAGTCACCAGTGCTCTCAAGCACCTGGCCTCAAGTAATGAATTTCATCTGATAGTGCCTCTTTTCATGCTTCCCATATGTGATTTTGGAAAAACTGAGTAGGACTAAGTTCTTACAAGAAATTTTGAGTTTTTAATGCAGTGCAGTTATCAAAGTTATAAAAAGTAACAAAAGAGTTGGACTCATACAACTGAACAGAAATTGACATTTACTTAGCTCAAATGACCTTTTGGTTCACTATTGAAGAATGGCACGTGGGGTAGTTCCTAGTGACCAGAGGGCACATGACTCAAGTTAAAAAAAAGCATTTGTATCCTTTTACTAGACAGAAAAAAGCAGGCCTAGCCTATATACTCAGATTGCACTGCTCTTTCTTCCAGTCACTGATCTTTTGTGAAGTATTCTCATAGGAGTTACAGGTGTTATGCTTTTTTTTACTAAAGTACAGCATGTAAAAAACCAAAAGTTCTTCAATGCACATATTTCACTACCCTTCCTAGTATCATGTACACTTTTAGAACCCAAAATTGAGACTGCCATTTTTAACAACTGCTCTTGCTGAACATGCACATTCACATTACACAGTGGTTATTTAAGTGGTGAATTTATCAGCCAACAAACTTCAGCTATATTTAATAATAAATTGACTTCTCTACAAAATGATGGGATTTCACAGACACAACCTGCAGTCCAGATGCTAAACAATCATGATTACTGTTCATGAGAAAATTCCTTCAGTTTCTGTAAAGGTGAGTGAAGTCAGTGAACCAAGAGGCAGTTTTCCCCTGACCAGAATACACGAGGGTTCAGTAAACAATGGGCCAATTCAGAAGGGAGAAGATGACAATAAAAACTTACCAGGCCATACAACTATATCAGGAATTCGCTTAAACATTCCTTCCCTGAGTACAAATATCTCGTGTAGGCAGTGGCCTGGAACACAAACAATAAGTTACTAAGGTCAAACCAGAAAGTGTTGAAAGCAGCACAGTTATACAAATGAAGTTCTCTTACCATGAGCTCTGAATACCCTATCTTCTGCATCCTGGGAATATGAGATTTTAGTGGCTCTAAGATCCTGAAGAAATTCTTCATTTACAATGGATGGAGGTACATCATTAACATTTAAGGATGCCTACAATACAAGAAAATAAATTCAATTAAGGTAAGTTCACTCTTACAGTCTTTCTGTACAACAGAAATAATAAAAACAGGCTAACACTGACTGATACCCAAACACATCTATTCTATATCAGAAAGACATCAGCTCTCCTTCACATCTTCAAACCACCAATCCAGCTTATCCTACTCTGCACACAAGAAGTTTTATTTCAGTAGTACATTCTTATCCTACTTTCTCCTGATAAATATGGAGAAATACATGAGCTTATGAATGCATACTGAACAAATTCTCTTTTTAAGACTTCCCAAGGTGCCAGAATACATACAACAGCCACTACACACTGCAAATTCTTCTACTTACAGTTCTGTTTTCAGTAACACTCCTCCCCTCCATGTCCTGAGATTTAAACCCAAATTGGACCAAAGCCTAATCAGAAGTCCAGTGCTAGGCAAAACTAAGATTGACTGATACAACATAACTGGCATGCATGAAGCAGACCTCACCTATAAGAAAGATCCCATAAAACCCATGTCTGAGTCACATACATAGAGGTGTCTCCATCTAAAGTCCCGATGAACACCTGGGAAAGGTGTTCTTCATTCCAAAAATCTACACAGGACATTCTGACTTACCAATAGACCTTAAATCAAGATTCTGTAAACCAGAGGGAAACCTCTGCTTAAGATTTTCTAACAGCCCATTCTCCCAGGTTCTTCCAACAGATGTCTTGTATAGTACTCTCACAGCTTCTCAAAGTGTAGACACAACCACTTAACTCTCTTTTCTGAACTCCACTTCCAATTACTGGGCACATAAGAATGTAGTTCATCTGTCAACTTTTTAAACCCACTCAGAGAACAAGAATTCTTTATCAGAGAACAAGAATTCTTTACATGATCCAGATTAAAAAAAAAAATTTTGCGGACATTGAGTGTAAGACTCTTATGTGCTTTGAAGATTCCAAAAAAACCATGGATTTTTTTCTCCTTAAAAATGGAACAAATATGAGTAATCTCCCTAAAGGAATAGGTCTTCTACCACAAATGGCCTCTAATTAGAGAGTTCTTTAATTAGATAAAAAGCTTGTCTGATGACTAAAATGTAACTTCTTCACTTCAAGTCTTATTGCAAAAGAAAACGTTGGTCAAGAGTCTTATTTTCTGTTAACTAAATCCCTCAAATCTGAGAGCAGAATTGAAAGTTTTTTTACCATCATATCTTATATTTTAAATACACCTTTAAAAATCAGGGATTGAACAAAAATTAGTTAAAAGAGTGCACTGCTTTCACACTTCTTCCATGCAAGCCTTGGTGGAAAATGAACTGACATCAACCCAAAGAGAAGAATGTGCTTGCACTTTTGCTATAAAGCTCTCAGGAAAGATGCCAGAAAGAACTCGTTTACAACCCTACCATCAAAAAGTATGGTGCAGTAATGTCCCACCTAGTCAAAGAAATTTAAGACATCTCTTTGACAAGCCCTACCTATGTTTCGTGACAAATGCAAACACAGAATATAACAAAATGGAATTCGCTGTGCTTTCATCTTCTGAAGTTAGCCTTCTACAAAAAGTATACTGACAATAAAGTTTTCTTTCCTAGAGCAGAGTTTTGCCTACCTTTGCTCGACATAACCTTCAGAGCAGCTGATACTTTTTGCCAATATATGGCAAAAACAGCAGCAGCCTATTCTGAACGGGTTGAGTCTAAAAGTTGTGTGGTATGATGAAGGTAAGATTTAAAGTTATCAGGAAAGTTGTATGATTGTGATGGAGTGCCCCCCTTACAAAAACTATATAAGGTTATGGAGAAATTAAGAGTACTGACAGGAATAATTCAGAAAGAAATAGCTGCATGAGATGTTCATTAGCAATAGCTGGCATCATTCACAGGCTCAAGTGGATAGCCAAAATATCCAACTTGGGTTAGAACTTTCATGTGGAACATAGGACATGAAGAAAATGCAGTTTTACCAGTGATTTAACTTCTGGAAGAGCATATGTGCCATCCTGACTTGCTTTAAGGATAATGCTGTAATTATTGAAATAAGGTGTCAGACAGCTAAATAAGGTGTCAGACAGCTAAAAAATATTCATCTTGTCATCTACAAATACAGAAGCTGAAATTAAGTGCTGTTAAGTGAGAGGCACTCCACTACTGAGACACCTGGATTTTAGGAGCCAGTCACAGTAAACATGATGTAAATCTGGTCTTCAACTGCTGCTCTTAATGCACATTCACACAGTGCTGCTTGCTAGCCCAAAGAACTCTGATAGCAACACAGGAAACATAAGAAACAAATGGGTACCAAATAAAGATCTTCAAATCATTTAAGAAAAACCCTCACTAGCTGTGTTTACATTTTAGACTTCAAACTTTTGTTTCTTCATGGATTTCCACAGACAGAATTATTTCACATCAAGTTGAACAATAAGTGCCTGAAGATCTTTGTTGTCGAGACTATGAACTATTTAACAGCTGTAACAATTCTTTGTAGATGGTTTTAAGCATCTTTATTTTTATAACTTTTCCACAAGTTTTTTAATCTTTTAGTTTTAATCTTCAAGATTAAAAAGTTAATATTTATCTATAAAAATCTTATGCACAGTGACAAACAAAAATATATCTTTATTTATTTTCATAGAACTGAAATACCTTAAGATTTGCACCCTGAAAAGCTAGTCAGGAAACCTATGTGAACTAGGTCTAAACTGCTCTCTATGTTAAATTTGGTCTGAAAAAATAAAGAGCATCAACAGATCTTGAAGATCACAGAAGAAGGTATATTTACTGTTGTTTCATTAAACACAAAAGTCACATGTAACAGGGAACCCTCCAATCTTACATGACAGAGGCAGGAGGAGATGGCACAGAAAGACAAATGAACCAAGAGATGGCTTCCCTACTGCTGTTCCTATACCTGAATTTCTTCATGCTTAGGGGATAGCAGAAGTTGAAAACCCAGCATAGCATGACAACCTTGGAGTGAGTTATGACAGCCATGAAAATGAGGGACCTGCAGCATTATTTGAGACTAGCTATGAGAAGTCCAGGTGTATATTGGAGACTCCAAAGAGTCCTATCCCGTATCAAGGTAGTCAGCCTGTTTGACATTACAAGGCCATTAAAACCAGAGGAGCACAACATAACAGGAAAGCACTCAACACTGCTGGCAGATATCCTGGGGAGCTGGTCTGCAAGATGTACTGTGGAATCAGGGTATTATAAAAAAATATGTACTTGTCTTGCAATTCTGCTTTGCTCTATCCTTTCTCTGCATGTAAAAAGGGAATAACAGTTCTCAAGACCTCTCTTCCCAGCAAGTTAAAAGGCTGCCAGTTAAGACCAACCCTGGTCAACAAAAACACATCCAGATGAATTTTTCAAAATCTATTGGCAGGTGGAGATCCTGTAAACCACAGCAGATGAAATGATGTCTTGATGAATAGAGGACTGAAGAAACGTTAAAGTTTTCAGGCTCTATGAGATTACCTGCTTCAAACTTGAACTAGCTCAAGAGATGGGTAGAACCATTACCCACAGCTGGGTTGCTACAGTCACAGTACAAGCACAGCCTGCTTCCAAGGCTGCTTTAGCAGCTATCTAGTCAGGAACCTGAAGCTTCAAAGGGATTCTAATTAGGGAGCCAAGTCTTCTCACTCAAAGTTCAGTTACTCTTTCTAAAAAGCAAAATATGTATGACTTCCAAAGCCCAGAACATTCCCAATGAGTTATTTTTCTGAAAACATTCAGTTCCATCTTGAGTATTCTGGTAGTCAGTTTTCAGCACCCAGACATGTAATAAAAATTACCGTCAAATGAGAACTTTGACATCTTTCAATACACCAAAAACACATCACAGTTTAACTTCCCTGTATTTTATATCTCTGTTATCATGAATAAGATTGATGTTGTATAAACAATTCCCTCTGGGCTAACACTTTCTACAGTCTTGAAATGCAAGCTACAGGCAGGACAAAAAACTCTCCCTCTGTTGGAAACTTTCATTTCAATAACGGTACTACCAGTTATCCTGAAACCACAAGTCATGCTAAGACATATAAGGTTTCAAATAGTAGTTCTATACCAACTTTTTTTTCCAAAAACGTTGAAGTATTAATACACTTTATTTAAATCAATTATGTGTGACAGCTGAATCATCTTTAACAGTGTGGTCTTGATTATCACCAAGACTAATGTTCAAAGGAACTGGTTCAGCTATTTACTTACTCTAGAGGTAGTTTTGTGCTCCAGACTTGCTCCAAAGGTTTTTTCTATCCATTCCTTAAAAGTTGGTAATACCATACCACCTAATCTGTACCTGAAAAGTCAATATTACATAGGGTCATTTTAAATTAAAAGAATGTATATCAGATACACTTCTTTCAATTTTATGTATGCACAAACAGAAGTTTTAAATGAAACTCTTTACCTACAAGCCTGCAAGGCTTCTGCATATTCACTTTTCATGCAACTGTGTATTTCATTGTATTTAGCTGTTCTTTACTTCACACAGAATCAAATCATTTGTCAGCATGGTATAATTTGCTTTGGCCATAGGGCTTTTCAGTTATCCCACCCACCACTCTTCAGAAAGGTCTCTCCCTTGCAGCAGTGTAGAAAGCAGCACCTGAGTTCACATGCTGGTTACAGATAAAGGACACACTGCAATGGAAACAGCAGTCTCAGACACACAAACCCATTTCAGTACACCTTATGCTTTCAAAGAAACAAACAGTATTAGAAGTTCCCCCTTCATCATCAAAATGCATCAGAATCCATCAAACACTGTAAAATTATTTCCAGCACAAACTGTCTGGCAAGAGCCAGATTATATCCTAGCCATGTGACAAATGCAGACTTACAGACAAGGGACAGAGAAGCTGGTTTTGACCATGTGCACCATGTGAAAACACAGAAGGCTGGGGACTGAAAACACTGAAAACAGCAAGAAACTACTGCTACTAATTGTATACATATACACACCTTCAGCATGTACATGTGTTCAAAAGTATTCCCAGAAGAGAGAAGAAATAAGATCTTTCTTTGATATTAAGAGCTTTCAGCAGCTGAGAATCCTTACCATAGTCTTCACCTGGGTCATTGCATTAGACCTAACTGGGTCTTCCCTCTAAGATCACTCACTCTGTAAATCCAGTTATGACCCTATCCTTCATAGCTGGTGCAACCAACTCTACAACTGAGTCACCTGTTACACAAAATGATCAATTCTTTTTGTTTCCTCATCTCAACTACCCCTCCAGCTCTTCTACTGACAAACCTCCTGCTCTAATCCTAGAATTAAAAGGCAACAACCTTAACTCAAGCTAGACTCTTCAGCATGGAAGAGAGTATTCAGTCATTCCTCCTACGACAGCTGTTATTGTTTCATCAAACTCATACAAAAATTAATTGAATTTTTTGAAGAGGAAAGTGCAATAAGCAATGAAAGTTTAGTGCATTTGCATCAAGAGGTTGCAATGAAGGCAGAGACCCAGGTCAGCTTGGTGTGTTTTCTTCTCCAGACCTACTTCTTAGTATTCACTAAATTATCATTATAGCTGGATTCTAAAGGGAACCTTAATCACTCAAAGGACAACTAAAGCTATCAGAAACCCCAAAACTTTTAAGTCAAGACACAGACAGAAGTCACAGCATAGAAGAAGTTAGTTTACTGCAATGCATGATTGATCAGGAAGCAAGCTTTGTATGCACACACTGATGGTGCAAGAAGCCCCCCAAAAACCACCTACCACAGACACACTCCAAAAAACAGCTTCAGTTGCTCAAACTAGCAAGTACCATCTATCCCCGTGGAGATGGCAGAGTCCATAACAAAAAAGATCATTTGACACATGGTCTGTAGGGAAAGTCAACTCAACTTTCATAAAGGGGAATCCTGTTTCACTAAGCCTTGGAGCTTTATCACGGTGTAAAAACAGAAAGTGAATAAAAGGGATACAATGAACATGAAATCCCACACTCCTTTATATTTCCACAGGTGTTCATCCCAAAAGTTATTTAAGAAAATACACTACTACAGTACTGAAGAAAAGGTTCTTCTATAGGCTGAAGGATAACATAAGTTTAACTTAAGAAGCAAAGGGCAGGGTTTATTGATCACACTGACAGAACTCAGGACCTTAAAAAACAAAACTAAGCAGACAAAAAAAACCCCATGGAAGTTAAGGTAATTGCAACAGCTGAAAGAAAAGCATTATTGCATGTTTGGCAGAATCCCACTGGTAGTCAGTATCATGGCATCTTCACTGACAACATACAACAGCAGCCCACAGTGCTGTGCATCATCTGGGCAGGGGTAAGAAAGAAGAGAGTTCATCTCTTTCTGCTGCTCTGTAGAACACTGCTGTATCCACACCTTGAGTGCTGCACACAGTTTTTGTCCCTGTCTCCAGAAAGATCTAGTGGAGCTGGAGAGGGTGCAGAGAACAACTGTACAGACCAAAGGGCCTTACAAGCAGAGACTGAAGGGCCCAAGACACCACAAGCATGGAGAGAAACTGCAAGAGAGGATATAACTGAGTCTTATAAATCAATAACACAGTAGATAGGCTGAAGAACTATCATCCATCTAGTCCTGCAAAACAGTAAGCTTGTTGCAAAACACAGGTACTGCACACAACCAGAACCTTGAGCTTGCTGCATCTGGGTGCTGCATAGGCAGGCAGTACAAGTAGACTTGAGGTTATTAGACAGACTTATGGACAACAGACCTGTTAGTGGGTGCTGAAAGGATGAGGCATCTACACCACCCATGCAGATGCTCATTCTCCTGTTTTCATTTCAAACACTCTCCTTTTGCCACTATGCCACTATTCCACAGAAATTATACTGGTGTGGCCCAAGAAGGTATTTCTAATGTTATGTCTCAGAGACAGTGTGGATGGGGGAAAACCCCACCATTCTAGAGCATGTACGTATCAGTCACATAGCAGTCAAGAAGCCTTGATGCTTCCTCCTGAAAAAAACAGAATTCCTGACCTTCTTTCTGGTTTAGTGTGCTTTGATTTTCTGTACACAATCTCCCTAATATACAGTGAACTGGCTTATACAAGACTTTACATTTTAATTTGGCCCTGAAATCAAAAAATTAACAACTGAAGCGCTCAAGATCCCAGTTCGGTTTTTGCAGCTTTGACTCAACTAATTCATGCAAGTTTACAGACTCAAAGACTAAGAAGGAATTTTTAGGAAAGACAGAATTTTACGTCTCTTCTGCATTCTTTTAACTATTATGGAAAGTGTATTTTTTAAAACAGGAAAGAGACTGAAAGTGTTACTTTCCACTCAGAAAGGAAAAAAAAACCCAAACCACAAAGATAGCAATAGGTTTAAATTCCACTGCAACAAAATTGAGAGATCCCAAAGCAGACTTAATTTTAATGTCGCTCTGCAAAAAATGTATTTCTCAGAAAAGCAAGCTTGCTGCATAAAGGGTTAGAGGGTAATAAATCAGAAGTGGTGCCACTACACAACATACAACTGAAGAGCAGTTTTTATTTTTAAGTTCAGATAAAGTAGCTCCATGCACAGTGGTTAAGAAACCCAAAACAAAGTGGAAATTTAATAAAGCAACTAGTTGATGCTCAAGAGATTCTCAAAACTGCACTGTTGTGCTGCATGTTACCTAAAGGTTTAAAACATGCTGCAGATTCTCAGTGTGATTTCATTAACCCAAAGATTATATCAAGTTACAGAGAAGACTCACATTAATTTGTCTTTATAACATTTTTAATAAACATTTCAATAAGCCCCATAGTCTATTTTACTATATCAGACTCCTGTGTATAGACTTCCACAAACCTGTTAAATGCAGAATAACCTATCCTATGAAATGAAGCAACTTCTTTGCCTTCTTTGAATTAACTGTACTGGGCAGCTTTTAAATTCTTTTCAAATAAACCACTAAATAAGATACTTCATTTACATAAATGTTCAGCTTACCTTTTTCCTGTGAATTCTGCCTGACCCTTCTTATTGAAGATGAATTTGGAGTCATTATATCCCCATCCATTCCACTTCAAAAGTTCTTGCCTTAAAGGGAAAAAAATACGAGTGACAATATTAGCATACTGCAGATCCAAAAAGCTTTTCTGTTATATGGTTTTGGGAAAGTCTTACCAGACAGCAATTCAAGAAATCAAGTACACATCAAAAGTGTATAGCTTAGAGCCAAAAGAAATTCTGAAACCACAACCATTACTCCTTCAGATTGCATCCTATGACTTGAAAGACAAGATGCCCTATAAAAGGAACCACCAGCTTAAGTCATTGCACACTGTATTGACTCATAGAATCATTAAGGTTGGGAAAGACCTTTAAGATCATTATTTCCAACCTTTCACCAACCACCATGACAACTAAACCACAGCACTAAGTGCCTCATCCAGTCATTTCCTGAACACTTTCAGGGATGGTGACTCCACCACCTCCCTGGGCAGCATGTTTCAATGTCTGACAGCCTTTCAGTGAAGAAATTCTCCCTGATGTCCAACCTGGACCTCTCCAGGTGCAGCTTGAGGCCATTTCCCCCCATCCTGTGTCTCCTGTTACCTGGGAGAAGAGTCTGACTCCCACCTGGCTACAACCTCCCAACAGGGAGTTGTGAAGAGTGACAAGGTCACCCCTGAGCCTCCTCTTCTCCAGGCCAAACACCCCCAGCTCCCTCAGCTGCTCCTTATCAGATCTGTGCTCCAGAGCCTTCACCTGCTCCACTGCCCTTCTCTGGACACACTCCAGCCCCTCCATTCTTTGTTGCTGTGAGGGGTCCAGGATTCAAGGTGTGACCTCACCAGTGCTGAGAACAGGGGATGTTCACAGCCCTAGCTCTGCTGGCCACACCATTGCTGATCCAGGTCAGGATGCCTTTGGCCTTCTTGGCCACCTGGGCACACCCTGGCTCACTCCAGCTGGCTGCTGACCAGCACCTGAAGGTCCTTTTCTGCTGGGCCACTTTCCAGCCACTCTGCCCCCAGCCTGTAGCAGTACATGGGGTTGTTGGGACTGAAGGGATTTGTCTGTTTGGTTTTTTTCTGTGTAGAGAAAGAGGACTAGATCACTAGTGACACAGTGATATTTTCCAGTTGGCAAAGGTAAGGTGTGAAAGATGCTTGGTTTTCACTCTATACATAGAAATCAACATACAAATAGGTAACATCTAAATATTTTCAGAATACAAAAGACATTTAGTATTTAAATTTATTTTCTTGACAGAGAATAATGATTTTAGTTGCTTGCCATTACTACTGCAATCCCACAGCATTCTTAACATTCAGTTGACGAGGACATTTGAGACACATTTGGACTGAAAGTCATAAACAACAAAACCTCAGGAAGTGCAAGAATAACAAATACAACCAGAATGTGACAGCAAAACTATAAATATATAAAAATCAAACTAACAACTGCCAAAATAAAAGCAGAAAATTGAAAAATCTTAAGCACAACCATATCAGAGAATCTCTTCACTATGATAAAGTCATCAGAACTGTATCAGTGTATTTAAGTGTATCAGTGTATTTAACTGTATAAGTGTATTTAAGACTTAAGAAATACACTACTAGTAATTACACATTCATCAAGCTTTGCTTTAAAAGCTTGCCATTTATTTACATTACAAATGAAATTACTAACCTAGAAACTGAATTTTAGTTAAGAGAACTGTATCTTAAAAATTCTATCAAAAGATCATTCACCTCCCTGGCCTATATACAGTAGCTCTTACTCTGACTGCCTAAGAGTAAGATGATCAGGAGTGACCATTTCAAAAAGACCTTGCAATTCAGAGAAAGCACTGCCTCAATCACTTCCAGCTCCAGCATTACATGCAAGATAACCATGTGATGATTGATTACCAAAGGTTTTCATTATAAATGTATTATTAACACAGGCTGCTGACATACTATCAGTGCAATTCGATAGACTTGGCTCAAACAAAATCTATTTCCTTCAAAATGCCTGTATGCAAGATTTTAATTAATCAAATGGAAAAAAGCCATGGTCATGTATTTCATTACAATTGTTTGATTCAGACATTTCAACCAGCCTTTGACAAATCTGGCACTTAAAGCAAACTTACCAGTCACTGAGTACTGAAATGACTCAATACAGTTTTGCGAAATAGCCAGTCTATATTGTTCTTCCATACTAAAGAATCAATTCTAAAATTTCAGCCAAAATTAAACTGAGCAGAGCTGTCCAGATAGAGAAGCCTCTTCTGCTGCCTGCTCTCTCTGATCTTTACACGCGTAGGGTTCACACAGGAAAGGACACGGATTCACTCATGTTCCATAGCATGGGAATGCCCTGTGCTATTGTGCTGTTGTGACATTATCAAAAAGGGTTCTTAGAGCATGTTATGCAGACTTGCCCATTTTTACCCTTATTTCTATGTATGTATACTTATGAATGCTGCATATATTTGTATGATGGTTCACAAAGAATCCAAATCACACACAGTGGAGCTGCTCCCAGCTGAGAGGAAGGTGACATAGAACTGGCCAGCTCAAGAGTTTGTTATTTTAACTAAATGTTCCATTCAAATCCCCACTACAGTCCTCCTCAAGGGAAGATTTCTCCCTCTGCTGACTAAATGCAGTATTTCTATATACCTGGCCTCTGTAGTTTGTTGAATCCTGTAAAGTCAGAATAGCCTTGATATTACTAAGCAAAATTAAGGAAGGCTCAAACTTCCCCTCTAATTTAGAGAGGGAAGTCCTCTTGCAGGGCAGTGCCAAATAAATATGCCAACAATGATGCATGAAACAGGCTAGATAAACGACCTGCAAATCTGGAGACAATCAGAGCAAGACACAAAAGGCCAGGCCCTAAAGAAACTGGTGACATGAGATAAACTGATAATGGCCAGGCTTGAAACTATCATTAGTCCTGATATCAGTACAAACAGGTACTTCCCACAAAATCATGGGGAGGTATTATTAATTAAGGACACAAAGACAGACTCAGATATGAGGTTTTGAGGTTTTTCTGCTACACTAACCACATTCCCATCTGCTTGCCCGTTCTAAAGGCCCAATTTCCTAGGTTGATGTTAAACCACCTGGCACTTTGATCAGGCTCTAACATATAGAACAGAGTTTAAGAGTTTTAACTCTTAAGAGTTTATTTTCTGGTTGAACTATTCCTGAGTAAAATTAAGTGCACAAAGCTTTACTCTGTCAGATAACATAGCTCCCATCATTTGTGCGATGATAATAATTAAATTAAAATCTAAAATAACAGTTTGTATGTTCGTAGAAGAATAGTTGACCCAAACATCTTGGCTACCTTGTAACACAAAGGCAGGGGATTTCACACCACCACATACAATGGGCAGTACTAGATCTTGTGGCAGGTAAACACCAGAAAAAGAAACTTAAGCATCCAATTTTTATATTCAAAACTCTACTGAGCAAGTCTGAGGTTTCTATCTGGAGACAGGAAGGGCTGGTTTTGGAATGAGTATGCTACACATACATGTGTTATGTGTAACAAGATATAATTTATGCACCCTTCTGGTTTTCTTCTCAGACTCCTTTCCAAGAATATATATATATATAGCCAAGATCTCACCAACATCTGACATTATTCTCACTTTAAACTAAATGTTATTGTAGTACTGTACCCAAACTGTCTTATTTAAAGACAACACCTTTCCTATTCAGTACATGAGCTTCAACAAAATATCAAGCTCATTAACTATCTCATTTTTGACAGAAATGTGAAACGCTTTAGTCAGAAATAGTAGAAACAGACCAGTACTTTCTTGCCTTCTAACTTAAATGATAGAAATGCACTACTGAAATATACGAAGTAGTACAAATCAAACATTGTTTTAGGTTTTTAATGTGTATGTTTGTATATATGTATGAAATTATATTGCCTGAAAGAAAACAAGTCACCATGGAAGCAGTGACAATAGATTAACACAGTGTGACTAGTTTAAGTGAATTTAAATATTCCACTTTCATTACAATGCCCAACACTAAAATACTAGTTTGACTCACTAGATAAGGATTTTTACAGTTGAGGGGCAGGAGGGTGGCCTCCAGCCCACCAGCTGATCTAGAGCTCCTGAAGAATCCAGTCACTCAGCTGGGCAGGCAGAGCCCTTGGGATTACACTATTTCAACTACTTCAACAAACTGTACCTGTCAGCACTGTTCAAATCTTAAGTTTTAGAGATTGGCACAGTGACTGGATGAAAAAGTTCTCCTCTCTCCCACAGGAAGCTGAAGTATAAGCACAGAGTCTCCCACAGATAGCCAAGGCTTCTTTGGAGAAGCAAGATGAATGCGCAGTTCAAGCCAGCTGGCGAAACGTGACTCAGGTGGAGCAAAGCCAGATGCTCCCATCAGTTTCCTCACCACTGACACTGTCAATTCAATCACCAGTGGACACTCAGCATTAAAATCCCATACACATAAAATATTCACAGGCACTTCTGTTGCACAATGGAAGAGCCAGCAGATTCCTGGAAATCAGTTTAAAGTGGCAATTTTAAGGGCTACCACATGGGCTCAAGCACCAGTATTTGCCTAATGTAACACAGTCTTGCAAGTTCCAGAGCTGTTGCAAAAGTCAGTGTGTGGGTGCAGTAATACTGAGGCAGTATTATGGTGGTAAGGTGTTACAAGAAGACATTACCCAAAGAACAATTCCTCAGAGCCTACCCCAGCTGGACTTTGGGTTACCAATCCAGCCCCCCAGCTGGAAATTCAGAACCCTTTCCATGGGTGGTACCAGAAGATCCCTCTTCCTCTCCCCTGGAGCAGTGTCTCTGTTCAGATTACAGAGTCACACTTCTCAACCAAGCAACACTACAGAGTGCTTCTGAAGCCAGCAGTAAATCAGCATCAGGTGCCTGAAATAAACAAAGAACATGCAGCCCAAGGAATTGTTTCAAGAACTGCTTTGTGAAAGCATCATTCATCTGCAGAGGAATGCCATGCTCCAGGCAGAGAGTATCTGCTGTGTTTGTCATTCTTACGCTTTTTCTGTCTTGGAAGACCTTCCCTGCAGCAAACCCAATATAA